GTTCGCAACAAGAGGAACTACCAGATCCAATTGGTAACGCTTGTGCTACCATTGAAGATTATCGTCTAACCTAAAGGTCAATCATTCACCTGTGTCCTGTGACGTTCTTACTAGTACTACATGTAGCATGGGATTCGACGGCTGTTCTCACAACCAGACACTGCTGATATGTACAGAGGCGAATCTAGAGCGGAGTAGGTCTTCTTCAATCTTCCCCTTCGGCTCCTTGACGCCCGACTCAGCTGGTGTCAAAGTGCCGGTAAGTCAGAGGCTGCACAGCGGACTTGTAACTAATAATTAGTTACTTGTGCACACCGTCTCGTATTATTTTGCACCATGCAGTCAAAAGTTCACTTGAAACTATTACTTCGCCCGAAACGTCTTCCCACTTCTTCGTGGTGTCATTCAACGTCAGTAATCTGGTAATGCGTGTGTGTGGGTTGTTGATCAGTGCAGACAGTGGAATGGTTTTGAAATCCGAGCTACACACGAGCTGCCTGTTCATCAGCTAGCTGGGTCATGTAATAATATTCTAATAATGCATTGATGGTAAAATGACTGCAGGCAGTAGTAGTAGTAGTATGGCATATGCACGGCGTTCAACATTGCTCATCACCATAGGCACGATCGTTCTTCGGCTGTGTTTCCAAGGCATCGAAATATGGCGTCTCAGAAACCTACACTCTTGCAGAAACAACGGATTGATGCGAAATTCAGGTGCAGGCTGCTTCAAAATAATTTCAACACAAAAATTCAATATTGTCAATATTGACTGTGATTGAACTCATGTTACTGCACAGTATTAATTTTGTGTCATTGAATTGACGTTTGTTCCTATCATCCCCACCAGCTCTGGTCCACGAGTTCTTCTTTGTTTTGGAAAGAGGACCGCGGTACATTCTCTTCTCTGCGACTCTAGTGACTAGTAACGTTACGAGACAACAGGCGTAAATTAATAGGGGAGAACCAGATGTCTTAGAATTTCTTCCACCCGCCAAACTCCAATTAAATATTGTTGTTGTTGGCAGTCACTGGGTGGTGGGTGGCAGTACGAGATGTCGTTACTGCGGCGAGCAGTACAGCTTGCCCGCGCGCCAGGCAGGCAGGTCGAGCGGCTAGTGCAGCACCTGGACCAGTTCGAGAGCAAGCCGTACGAGGTGCGGCCAGAAGATCACATGCTCTACTTGTTCCAGTCGAAACGGGACCTGGAGGACTGGGAAGTGCAGACGGACACGGAGCTGGGTGGAAAGTCGCAAGCCTCGCTGGAGACCTCGCTGTCGGGCAAGGCCAGGTTCTACGGCAGGCTGAACACTGATGCACCGGAATGGCTGACCCACTCTGGCTATGCTGCCATGTTTACTGCGGAGAAAAGGGTAGGTGACTACAAGTAGTCGTGTAGTTGTGTGCATGCAGTAGCTGATCATGACCCGTGGGTGATATGGATGGTTGATACACAGGGTGGCTGATGATACTGTCATCCTCGGCAATACAACTAGTGTTAATTCAGATTCGCAGTTCTGGACATCACAATCTGGCCCGTTCGAAGCGGGATGGAGCTTCGTTCTCCCTACCAAGACACACTCATCTAAAGTCACGCTCCATGAAATACAGGCTTATGAATACGTCACCGCCCTGTACCAGCGCAGCCTAGTCCTGTGCTGCTCCGCGGTGTTCTCCCTTTTCCGTTTGAGCAGCGCTATGCCTGCCAGTGTATTCGACTTCAAAGTATTTATTTTATATTTTCAAGGTGCTGTGGCTGTGATAATCGTTATATCTTCTCCAGCAGTGCATGGCCAGCGCTTCTATCCGTGATCACATAGTCGCATCGGCTGGTCAGGTTTTGGTGCAGGTTCCTGTATTGCGGGAGCCTTGATAAATTCATGGACTGTACTGCTTTGAGCAGTGAACAGGTGAAGGCTATTGGAAACTGGTGATGCCTGACTAGAAGCATGGCCCATTCCTTTTTTTGTATAATTATTGTCTCTGCTGCCTACAGCAAAACGCCTTGTTGGAGATAATGCAGTCTGAAAAGATTATCGGGCAAGGTAACTATGATGGCTTTGAGGTTCGGCTGCGCGGGGATGGCCGCCGGTACAAGTTCAACTGCCAGGAGGAGCACTTCCGTAGGACGGAGAAGGAGGTCATGTTCCAGTTCATGCTGAACACGCGTGGCGGACCGGAGTACGAGATATTCCGCGTAAGTTGACCGACTTGAGGCCCCAGGGCATGATAATCTCACATACCACGATTATCTTCTCGCAAAGTGTTCCGTACTTTCAAAGTCCCGCACTCACAATAAGTTACACATTTTCGTCTCCAAGACCGAGTGCGCTACTTATCGGAGTAGACTGAACGTGGAAGTTTCAAATTCTAACACTACTCAGAAGTAGCTTCAGAAGAGTTTGGTTTTCACTATGCATGGACTGTTTTAGTAGGTGGTATTTGGGAGTGTGTTGAAGTAATTCAAAGTGTGAGCACATGGAGTGATGGCATTGGAGTGCTCATGTGTTGCGCTCACTGAGGGTCATGGCTGCCATATATTGGGCGATGCATTGCCATATATTGGGCGATGCCTGTTTCCATGCTGCATACATGTACAGTATTGTCACCATTGTGCATGCTGACCAACTGTGCCTACAGATGCCGTTCTCTAAATTCATCCGCACGGCACGCGGCGGTTATCTACAGAGCCAGCTTCTCCTGGAGCATCAGTTTATCAAGTCGATCGGGTTCCTACTGGCTGACGACGTCACCGGGCCGTTCCAGCTGGAAATCGACTACATCAAGCTCATCAAGATTCCTTACTGCGTGGACTTTGACAAAATGGACCGGCGCCGGCCACAGCATACAAACCTGATGTCGTATGAAGATCTGTAGTCAGTTTACACTGAGTTATTATTATATCATTTCTGTACCTTTGAACAGGTTAGCTGTGACCAGAGATTCCCCCATGCTATTTTGGCCTTGAAGTTCTTATCATTGTTCTCATCGGACTTCATTAATTTAAGAAAAATGTACTTCTTCTTCTTTGTTTGAAGTAGAATTTATAAATATTTAAAATTATTTGATGACGAGAGCGTAAGTAACCACTGCTTTGAAATGGGTATGCAATGTTCAATAGATAGCTTTCTTCTAGCGGACAGTTTGGGCCTTACACTAGTAGCTAATACATCTATGACACGAATCTTGACACCGCAATTATAACGCAGGAAATCAGTTGTTGACAATGGTGGCTGGGTGGTCCGGTACGATATGCTATAGTTTTTCTGGGTCAAATACTAATACTGGCTTGCAGTGTACATATAAGGCAGAAGCAATTGTTAGTAATAGTATATCTGTAGACAATGCACAGGAACCAGCAATGAAGGAGTACAGTGTAGGCAGGCAATGACACTGTACCAACGCGTTTGGAAAGAAAACGAACTCATCTGATTATCTGCTGAGAACCGTTGGCTATACTGCTGAAGCATTACACCCGTATGGAGGTTGTAAAAACAGCAGCCTCGGACTCGAGACTGCATGCAGCCTATCATGAGCTCTGTGTCGGTGTGTTTGCGTACAGAACATTTGCCAGTCTGTGTTTCTTACAGTCCACGGAAGGCGTTAGCCTGTGCGACCTTCTCGTCAATCTCGTCCTGCATCTTCTTCACGTCTGATCCAGTTATCTTGTCTCCAGACTGAACTCGTTTAGCAAACTCTTTTAGGTTCTTCACAATCTCCCGCTTTCCCATGTCGTTCTCAACGGTGCTCAGATGTAAGTGCATTTCTTTGACCAGAGCTTTCAGATTGGACGGAGTAATCATCTTGTCATACCAGGCCTCACTGCCGACCACACTGGCTTCAATGTCGAAGGCATGAGACCGTGAAGCAGCATAGTTCACGGTCAAGATGTACTGAGCGCCTGGAGTCACACACCACCAACATGAGAACAAACAGAATATGGTTGATCCATGAATACATTGGTAGTAGTATTGACCTATCCGCGGCATGGGAGAGGGTAACAAAAATAAAATAAATAAAAAATTGTTTGGGGAAGCCACGCCATTATTGAATGCTCAACAATGACGGGTGTGGGGTACACCAAGTTCCCATGATCTGAAAGTACAATTATTATTGTTGAAAGCACTAGGTGGCCTGCACTATACAATGTGACCTGTGCAAGTATATTGTTTTGTCTGCCTGTTCCGAGCCACCGATTGCAGTGTCTCCAGGTCCTTCGGACTCCGGAGATGCATGGACGTCGCCTCGGCTAATTCGTTGTCTATCTATCACCACTGGTAGGGTGAGGAAATTGCCCCGACTAAACATCACCGACGGTATCCGCCTCGCGTACAGCCATGATATTCCTTGCACAAATGAGAAATACACCAAGGTGCGGGTATGCGAGCACTTCAGAAGTGCCAGCGCATCCGTACCTTGCAATATTTCTCTGTCGTCTCTGTCCATGAGTACAGCTTTTACTAGCCAACTCTATACACATATAAGCAACATTGCCTTCCTGTAGCCTCGCGTCATCTTCATACCCAGACCTAGACACACAACCTCTGCTCGGACTACACTGCACAGATAGTCAATTGGATAGAGTAGATATACTAGAGTCCTGCTCAGCGAATCTCTGATGTCATGAAGAAGTTTGCATCCTGCAGCATGCAGTGCATGCAGGTCTTGAGCTGAAGTTATACAGTGCCACACACTAGGTTGACCCACTCGCTAGGTTGACCCACACACTAGGTTGACCCACTCGCTTGGATATCATTGAGCAGTGCTGCAGTGCAACCATGTACTCTAATTTCAGAAATTTTCACTGCTCAATATTTTCGGTATGAGGGCAACAGGTGAACAGAAATGTTCGGTACAGAGAAGCAGTTCCCTATTGGATTATGACACACATTGTGTGTTGGTGTTTGTTCGGTGTATTGAAATTTTAGGTATGACACAGACACACCGAAAGTACCGAAAATAAAAGTACTTCAAGTACACCGAAAATTTGTGAAATTACAGTACTTCATAATGCAGACCTTCACAATACCTCTATGCAGACATGCCTGATGACAGAGCATGCAGCAGCGCATGCACGAAGTGATATATGGCAGTGAAGCATTAGCAATCCCTACCTTGGAATGTCGGCGATGATGGGCGACACGATCTGTTGAACGCCGTCTGGAATACTGCAATGCGTCCGAACCGGGGGCGAACAGCGGCCACAGCCTCCACATCATTGCCCTTGCCCTGTCGAGACTCGAAAAACACCGTTTCACCAAACATGTCTTTCGTCCAGCCAGGGTTGAGGAATATGCTCAGAGAGACGCCATGTTCTGGCAAATGCTCAGCCTGCAGCATACTGGTTTGATCGGCTAATCTCGTTAGGCTACAGGATAGCGAGTATGGGTGGTAGGTGACAGCGCCAGTAAAATGGCTGACCACCGGCTGAAGTTCATCAAACAGCCGACTTTGACGGAACAAGGCAATGCTCATGGCTATAGGAAAGGAAAGCAAGGAAGACAAATACAAATCTTAGAAGCCCCAAGGGAAATGTTATCCTTCGTGCTGGTATGTTAAACACAAGCTTCACATGGCATATGAAACATGTACTTGTAAGTGCATTTGAAATGATGATCAACATGTGTTTGACAATCATGCTCCGGTTTCATGACAAAGCTGTGTTTGTGTGCTCGTTTGAGAAGCATTCATGATGTGTAGCCTTGGCCCTCGCAGTATCCTACTAGTACATGTATAGCTTAGACAGCTAATCCTGCCTGTACTGGTTCTATTCAATAAGTGTACATGGATGGTAGGGTGGATACAGATCACATGCCACTGCACAGGGCACCTTGCACATACTCACACAAAAACGTTTGCAGCGGAGATACACAACACATTCACAAACACACCGGGGACACAACATCTCCCGGTCTTCTCGCCGGTTTGCAACACCATGACTGCTACCATGACAGTGTTGGTAACTTACGAAGAGTCCACATAAGGTTCTTTTCATCATAGCGGTATAGTGCACGGTGTAGCATGAACAAGCGAAGCTTCGTGACATCTTCTTCGTCAAGGTAACCATCAAGTACCATTACTCGATTACCACTACTGGCAGTGTAGCTGTATAACCAAGACAATTCACAGTAGACCGGTACAAACACAGTAGAGTACAAACATTCACAATTCACAGTAGAGTACAAACATTCGTCACTCGGAATAGTGAGCACGGCCGAAGTTACCGCATAACACAGTTGCACTTCATGCGCCTCATATCCTGTCCTACAGAGGAAAGCTAAGACACTGTATGGATGAATGCTGGAACTCACATAGGACAAACACTGCCGACAGCACGGCACAAGGAGTTGACCCTTTGCACCACTGAGCTGCTCACACAAGGAGGCAGAGTGTTCAAACATATGCCAACATGCCCAGGACCTCCAAAGTTCCAAACACCCGTGCACCTACACCGGCAACCGTACCAAGCAGGGGCTACGTTCTGGTGCTACCAAGCAAGCACTTCTACCTGTCACTGGATGCCAGTCATTATATGAGCCAGACTGGTTACTAGTAGCTGACATTCTACACACAATCAGACATTTAAAATGAACACCCGGATATTACAATTCAGACTTTAGTGGAGAACAGAGCATCGTGTGTGCGCAGGTGTGTGAAATAATTGGGTACTTACGTTTTTACATGGTGCTCCTCCACATCCTTGTTTGCTTGACTGTCCTCGCGCATTTTGAGAGTTTTGGTAAACAGCTTCTCCTCTCCGTGAAATTTTCGATCCTCAACTCCTTGGACAAATCCCTGGTTCTTATGGAAGTTCGTGTCAAAACCTTCTTCATCCGGTCTTCCCATCCTCAACTGCAGGAGTGGTGTGTTTGTAAGGGTGGGTGAGTAAGAGAGAAAGACACACAAAGAGAGTTAGAGAGGAGGAGGAGGAGGAAAGGGTGGTGACTAAGAAGGAGGAGGAGGCCTGAGGCAGAAGAGGAAAGGGTGGTGACTAAGAAGGAGGAGGAGGTCCAAGAGGAGGTTTATGAGGAGGAGGCAACTGTTACATTATCGGCTAGCTTTAATACACTAACAGCCTAGCATAGCACGAGGGACTGGCTGAATCAATCTAAAATAAATGAGGGAACAGAGTTAGAGCACTTTCTTCTTTCCTTTTGCATTGCGCAGTGAATTGCAAGAATCTCTCTCCGAAATTCGAGGGGTGATCAGAAAATGTAATTGCAATTGTACATGTACATGGCTACAGTTATTCAAATTACTAAATTTCCAGGCCACAAGTATGCCATTGCGTAGAGACTTCTTCTGGAGAAGATTTTCAAGCTAACCTCAATAATATGCTGTGCTGATGTGTAGTCGATAGCAGGCGGGTGAAGTAGTCGTCGTGCTGATGCCGTGAAGATGGCCATGCGACCAATGCGTGGGTGAACGCTTGCCGCCACTGTGGCACTGTCATTGAACAGCAGCGTTTCGCCGTAGTAGTTGCGCTTCCAGTCGTCAACGTAGATCTGTGCAATGAGCGATTTCTGGAAGAATGTCAACAAGGAAAACAATCATACTTTAGCTGAGCGTGCCCGATAAGTACCTCGCCTCGATGTGCTAGCTAGCTTCGCGTTTGGATACCGAAGCAGACAAGCACTACCATTCAAGTGGAAACTGTAGTACTGTGCATGTGTTATCATGATTGCAGTGTAGTACTGTGCATGTGTTATCATGATTGCAGTGTAGTACTGTGCATGTGTTATCATGATTGCAGTGTAGTACTGTGCATGTGTTATCATGATTGCAGTGTAGTACTGTGCATGTGTTATCATGATTGCAGTGTAGTACTGTGCATGTGTTATCATGATTGCAGTGTAGTACTGTGCATGTGTTATCATGATTGCAGTGTAGTACTGTGCATGTGTTATCATGATTGCAGTGTAGTACTGTGCATGTGTTATCATGATTGCAGTGTAGTACTGTGCATGTGTTATCATGATTGCAGTGTAGTCGTACTTAGAAGATTCTGCAGAGGTAAACAGTTCCTATCACGGAAATCTCTTGTTTAGAGAAGAAACAAGCTTTGGGCGTTCAACTCGAAAGAGAAATGATAAATCATGCAGCACCGGGTACATCTATTTCATGCATTCTCTATGTGTCTATGTCTCTATGTAGGCGATTTTACAGCAGCACTACTGAAGACATGCCGCCTCAGCAGCTGGTTGAGAATCTGTTATTAGAGAAGCAACCGCATGGCTTAAACATGTACTTCGAAGCACAGGTATCAATTTATTGGTTTTCATCATACAGTTTAGCCGGGAGTTCCTCAGAGACCTAAAAAAGAAAAGAAACAAAAGGTGCGGGAATGCCATGTTGTCCAATGCTCAGTGGCTACCCAAAATCAGAACTGTGGCTCCACTATCACTACTAATGCCAGGGAGATATTGTTCCAAAGGCCATGCACAATGCTGATACGTACGTCATTGATGTCACCCAGATCCGGCTTGAGCTGATCTCCCCATCTTAAGACGTGCAGGACAACATCAGCGAGAAGGAGCTCTCCGTCACTGGGGAAGGCAAGGCTCACCATCCGCTGTATCGACTGCCATAGGTCCGTATTGGTAAACTCAACGGCTGGGAGCACGGCCTTCCATGGTGCATTGCTTTCCGGCCGCAAGCGAGACTCAACTACAGCAGCACAAGAACACACATGATAATCGTGTATGCAAGCACACAAAGTGGACGGAGGTACATGAAAGCTACCGCATTTTTCGGAGTACAAGCTGCACTGGAGTGTAAGCCGAACCCCCCCCCCCCTTTCTGGGTGAACTTTGAGGGTTAAAAGTGGGGTTTTAGTTCATACTCCGGACCATATGGCCCAGAATCTGCGAAAACCAGGCTTAGGGTGAAATTTCACAAAATGACTTTTTCCCATTTTCAGCTTCTACTGGGCATGGGAGGTCAGGAGACAAAATATTACAGGTGTGGGTCGACTCATAGTGGTATTAAAAGTATCTCAAACACACCAGGGTATTGTGTTAAAAAATCCAAAAAAAAACACAAAATTGTTATCATAGGAAAGAAATGAAGAGAGATCCACCAGAGTGAAGGAAGAGACATGGATGATTTTTGTTTAGGTGACATGACAAGGTAGGCATGTGGGGGGCAGGCTTGTTGTGGCCCCTTGGTGCTGCAGGCTGTAGTGGCCACGCACAGTTCTGCATGAATTTTGTTTGCTCCTCACTCAGCACATTCTGGGGCTGCATACATGTACTTGCATGCTCTGGCGCTACACACCACAAGGAAACCCGACTCCGGTTGAGATGGCACCTTTTGAAGGGTGAATCTAGTACAACTATTCAAAAACAAGCAAGAACACAGCCTTTCAAACTGTTCCACTGTTCGTAGTATGCGCATAGTGATAGTGTGCTGGCGTGCTGCAGTGTCTGCTTGGTGCTGACCAGCAAGTGAAATCTCGGCACGCCGTACAATCCCTTGCAGCTAGCTGTCCAGCGAGGAAAGTCTCGAGTGGAGGCCTCTCAATCTGCTCGCTCATTCGCCTGGCATTCAGTAGCACTTCATCGCCAAGGCCTTCAATTCAAAACAGTTTTCACATTGCTCTTCTAGCCTTTTTCCTCGTGAACTTGCTGCAAACGTATGAGCTCTGCTGCGCGTGTTCCCTTTGCGTGAGGCCCAGAAACAGCTAGTATCTCCATACTTCGATTGGCTGGGTCGATGCCGTCCAGGTTCTCCTCGCTATCGCCATCACGACTCTAACTGGAGACGATTTCTTCACCATTTTCCGCAAGCAGCAGCTAGCGCAGAAATTTCGCCATCCCTGAGTGAAGGAGATGGAATCCGTTCGATCAGCTCAAAAACTCTTCGTTGTGACTAGAGGAGTAGCAGGGAATATTCTACCGGAAGCCCTTTGACTTCCCTGACTGCTGAAACCCTTCCTGCCATGACTGCTACTTCTTCAAACAAGCGAGATTCTCTTTGGTTCCACTTCACTGCACTCGAGCGCCCACGCGACACAACCGTTTTACAAAACATCATTTTTCTCAAAAAAATGATTTTCACCCTAAGCCTGGTTTTCGCAGAAGTTGGGCCATATGGTACCTCCACTAGTCCATCAGGAAATGTATTGTCACTGTCACCCGTTGTATAGCATAGCTCAGGGGGGGGGGGGGGGGTCATGAAGTGCATTGCCACCGTGCAATACAGCATGCAGTGGGTATGGATGACACTTGACCAGTCCCGTCAATCTTGCTTACCATTCTCTTCTGGGTCAAAACCTGTGAACACCCAGTTCGTGTCCTTGTACTGCAGTAGGTTGCGCAGATTGTCGACGTTCTCACGCGTGAACACACGATCAAGGACGACGAGACGTCCGTCGTGAGGCAGTGGAGCGGTGTATTTGATGTAGGGAGTAATGTCCTTCAGTGCTGTAACGTTACAAATACAGACAGGTAGAATGGCAGGTAGACAAGACCGTTGAAACATGCGCAGCATAACAAGAAAGATGGATCGACCGATGATAACACCAAGCAGGGCTGTAGTCTAAAGCAACATCATGTGACGCTGTGCCCTTCTTCAAGTGTCTGCTGCCCTGTTTCAAAATGAATCACACTCGCACCGTAGAGTGCATGGTTTGACTAAAAATTCCCACCTGCATGTACAATAGTCATTCCCCATACAATAAGCCATGCACCCTGGACATGTACATTTAGGCCCTGAAGAGTAGACCATTGTGTGTTGTCAAGTGCAACAGTCTGGCACATAATCATATTAATGCCAGTAGACCTGCATTGTGCAGGGGTGCAGCTAGGGTTTCCTTGGCACCCGGGTCAATGTTGATGTGGTATTTTCTTTCTGAATTTATGTCAACCCTGAAATCACCCCACACCGAAACCGGAAACAAACATTCGACCAATCGCTACCTTCTAAATAATCCACTTTGATTGTGGACTTTGGTTCAGGATCAGCCGATCGGTTTGAGTATACCGGTATGCAGAATGCATGTATGTGAATGTCAACCAAGACGGCGTGAATCTTGCAAACCTTTCCCAGTTGGGTCGTTTTGGTTTCCCTCAGCCAAGTGACCCGGTCAAGGTATGCCACTTTGTTATGTGGTGCAGCACACAAACGCACGTACCATGCAATCGGGTTTCGTGATGGCACAAGGTCTCATGATATCGTTGCATGCATGTGCAATAGGCTTTTCCCAAATCAGCCGGTCGAAAAATTCGGCCAAAACAGTAGTTTTGATAATTACTTACCGATCTTTTCGCCGAATATGCAAATTTCACACTGAATTCGCCGAAAATCGATGTTTTGGTGCCTCAACAGCATGCAAATACAATTTCTGTGGCCATTGTGCATGCAGCGAAAGGTGCCTGCGACTTTCGGCATTTCCGTAATCGGTCACCAGGAAGAGACGCCGAAATCAATGGCTGTCGAGAAGTCGCCGATATAAAAACAAGAGAAATACAGAACGGCTTTGAAGGGTGTCCAGATTTGGGGCGGCCAAATCAGTTGGACAGTCTGAGCAAAGCAACATGAAATATTCAGAGAAACACTCCTTACTAGTGTTATCCTTCCTAAAGCATGAGTCGGCTGGAACTGGAGGTAGCACCAGCATATCTTCCCCTTCTTCCTCGCCACCATTTTCTTCATCCCCATACTGGTCATCTCTGTCCTGCTCTTCTTCGTCCTCCTCCCCATAATCTGGCTCCTCGGGCTCATCGTACTCTTCTCTCCTGGCTCCTATCGCACTAGGCATGTGCGGAGCGCACGTTAGAAGAATTAGGAGTGCCAAACTGCCCCACGCTATCCTGAGGAATTCCATAGCGAGCCGGTAGCGACGGTTGGGGGTTCCTCGAGTCGAGCGTCGTCCAACCAGAAAGACCACAGAACTAGAGCGCTTACTCGCACAACATGCACACTGCACGGTATATCTACGGGCTACACCTTTTTCACTCATTTAGCTGAATGTGATCTGCTGAGTACAACTACTGTACAACTACAAGCTTCTCCTCTTCAAAAAATTATTTTCGACTCTCGGCTTGCCCCCCCCCCCCCCCCCCCCATTATCTAGCCCTGTAGTATGAGTATGACCTAGCGCTAGCGCTAGCGCAGCTGTCGACATGTCACTCATGAAGCCTTGAAGGTATGATTTCGGATTTGGTTCAGTTTGAACGCTGTCGTTGCGTAACCCACAACATGCTCAGCTCTCGACTCCCTGCATAATAAAAGTGCATTGAACTGTGTGTGGAGTCAACACAGAGCAGCGGACTCTTCGACTTCGAGCCGAGGTTGACCGACCCTCAACTAACTAACGTTACTTGGTCAAGTCATGCATGCCGCGATTCTGCGCTTCACACCTCTGCGAACCAACACAGTACAGCCTACACTCACTGACTCAGGCTACAGGGCAACAGCTGGTAGCATGGGTCCCCAACATTTTACTCTTACTTGGTGTCACTGTGAATCAGTGCCAGTGCACTGGCCAGACGGTGTCCGAATGGACACAGGAATGCAGTGTAGAATCAGAGGCACTTCCTGCAGCACTGCCAGCAGATCCAAACTGTGCATTGATTCTCACAACTCCCTGATGGACACCATTGGCATTACCTGAACCGCTGTAATACTAATGTGTATTATGAGGCTATATCGCGTACTATCAGTATCACTTATCAGTATTACACACACACGAGCTGTGGAAAGAGACATTGCATGCTTTCATTCCCACTCCTCTCACTGCATAACAGTCAGCTGCACCACTTCAATGCTTTCTTGGCAAGTTTGGAGCATGCGCTTGGTCCATTGCTACGCTTATCGTTTGTCACCTGCCCCGCGGGGTTTGTTTTAAACATGCATGGTAGCCATGCTATCTGGGAAAAAACAGCCTACAGATCACATCAAATATGTACTGTTCATTAGACCTTAACCATTGAAATAGGATGAGCGTAAATGAGAGTAAATCTCCGCCTCCTTTCTGAAGTTATTCACAGGTAGTCCGCTGATACCCAGCATAGTCCAGGGGCATATCATATTGGTGCTGGTGAGTAAATCAATAACTAAATTTAATAAATACTGTTGTTCTCCTTTCCGCTTGACATCACACAAGTGTCAAGACGTAGCCGTCGCCCAGGCCAGACAGTGGCACTAGCTGCTGATTGTCGGACCTAAGACTTAGTAAGAGGAAGAATTGCTTGGCGCCAGCCAGTCGATCACCTCTATGCACTGTTCTGTGAAACTCAGATAGGCAGCGCGTCACCTTGTTGCAAAGCATTGTACTGGATGCGTAACTGTTTTGGACGGTCATGCTCAACAATAGTTCACATGCATGCCATTCTCATAGAGTGACTGCATGTGATGGAATGGATTCTGACCCTATCGCCTCGTGTCATTCGACATGCATGCTGCCGAGGCATTCTGAAGAGTTTGTATCCTTACCGATGTCCATGCAAATTGGTGAAGACTATGATAAAGCAAGATTCAAGTCAATCCAAGCCGTGGGAGAAGCCTCCACGGCAGTAAGCTCTCAAGTTGGGCTTCTAGTCTCACAAGCGCAATTCTTGCATAGCAGCGTATAAGCTATCCATAACGTCCATTACTTCCGACCTAGCCAATGGCCGTCCATCTTTGATTGCCTGGTTTATTTTCCTGACAAGTTTTCGTGCTTTGTCTTTCATCTTTCCATTCGGAAGAGCACCCATTTCAGCCAGAATCTCTTCCATTAGGTCCTCTAGCTCCGGTAGATCAATCATGCTATCCGAGTCACCGTCGTCCTCATCTTGGTCATCATCGCCCGCGTCCCCGGTAGGGTCTTTCTTCGCGGCAAGTTCCTTGGAAGCCGAGTACTTGACGGCAAACGTGTATCGGGCACCTGCACAGTGGACACGTGAAAAAGCACATTTTCACAGGAACGTTCTGTTGATGAGCTAGCACACATCCTACTTTGAAATGCTTTCACTGTACAAGTATTTCAAGCAGCCACGTTCATGTATATGTTCACCTGTCAGGAAAAAGCTTGCCAATTGTACCAGGTTGTCCTGGAAACTCCTGGAAGTAGAACAGTAGAAAACCGTCCTACATGGGGGGGGGGGGGGGGGATAAGGGGTCTGTTGTGGCAATACACGCAAGTCCAGGATATGTAGAATCAATCTGGAAAGCCGAGCTATGAGATCTGCCTCCTCAAAGACTGATGGCTTCTCAATCTCCACAACCCATGGCGGTACACAGTGATTGTAAACCTGTGCTGGCATGGGTGTTAGCGTACACTTGCCCTTTTCAGTCTCTGCATAACATCACTTGACAGTACAATTGTCGCCAATCATCGAAACGCTACCGTAAGAAGGCCTGATCCTCTTGTTTAGCATTGCGCACGCTTGATAACAGCAGCATACATTCCGGTCCTGGTACACACATTGTCTTCCTCATTCTATGGTTAAAAAGCTACAGTCTTCATTAGTACCCATATCAGGGAACCAGAGGAATTCAACATGTTGCATGTGCATTTGACTTGCACAGTGCCCAAGGCAACACGGCTGCTGTAGCTCGGTGTTAAGAACCCAGTTAACTACAGGTATATGTAGCAGTCATACCACTCACCATGGAAGCTCGACGACGGCGGACGGGCCGAGTGCTTGAACGTACCGTCGAATATTGCCACACGGCCGTAGCGCGGTCGAATGGCCGCCACAGACTCCAGGCTTTGTCCTGGGGCATCCACAAGGAATAGCGTCTCACCAAACATGTTCCTTGTCCAGTTTGGGTTCAGATAAACGAGCAGTGTGACATCGTTTTCGTCCGGCTCACAGTCCTCGTGAACGGTGGTAGTATCCGTGGTGCGAATCAAGTTGCAGGAGACATCATGTGGATAGTAGCTACCGACACCCGTGAAATAATCCACAATCTTCTGTAGCTGGACGTACAGTTCACTCTTCGTGAATGCCCAGGCCTCAAAGCCTATGTGAAACACATTGGCAGAAAACAACTGATGCATCACAACTCATCGAGTATTGGGGATTTTTTAAATGCACTGATATAGAGTCATCGTCATCAAGGCTTGGCACTGGGTGCGTGTTAGACCCGAGTCATCAATTGGATTTTTTCCCCAGGGGAAGACAGTATGAGTACTGGAGGTATGGCGGGCACTAAAATGCCCCCCCCCCCCCCCCCCCCCTCCTCCCCCCGTCGAAACACTGATGCAGCACATCCGGCTTACCTGCTATCCATTTGACGTTGTCAGTACCACTCATTGACTTGTCAAATTGATACGATGACCGGTGGACAATGTGATCCCGCAGGTTCGACAAGCTAGTGTTGTCCATGAAGCCATCAAACACAGCAAGTCGTTTGCCATTGCGAGCCCTATAGCTAAGAAAGATCAATGGCCATACGGAAGACAGACCTGAGAGATAGCAGAATGAACAGCTGGATCAGAGGACATCACTCGGCTTATTGCACATAATGATTTTTCTTATTGTCCGCAAACTCCAATGCAGCCACTTACACATGTATGAAAACTCACTCCCCAACTCCAATAACCGGGTCGCTTTACTGCAATCCATACATCCTGTACACACACCTTGTACACACTCTCTCTAACGGTCTCTAGGCTACACTGCAATTGATATACATTAGATCAAATTTTCGGGCAAGGCCCATCATCAGGAATAAGTCTACTGTAGACAAAACAGGGCTTCATACATATCACACAGAATAATAATCTCGCTTCCTGTGGTATTGCAACATTTTACGCTAGACCATCACACCTTTGGCCACTAGTACTTGTCACATATATAAAGCCCTGTTTTGTCTACAGTAGACTTATTCCTGATGATGGGCCTTGCCCGAAAAATTTGATCTAATGTATATCAATTGCAGTGTAGCCTAGAGACCGTTAGAGAGAGTGTGTACAAGGTGTGTGTACAGGATGTATGGATTCAAGTATTGGCTACAGTGGAGTCTCCAAACCTTGAGAAAAGCGCTTTACTGCAAATCAAATCAATATACAATTTACATAATATTCCACCAAATTGTCAGGCCTCGCCCAGCATCAGGGTTAATATTCTGATGATGTATTCAACCTGATGATGGGCCAGGCCCGAAAATTTGCTTGAATACTGAATTGATTCAGTGATTGGCAGTAAAGAGACCGTTGTTGGAGTTGAGGAGTGAAGTTTCATACATACATCATCATGTACATAGTTATTGGTGGCACATGTAGCACGGGTCCAGTACGGTGGCAACAGTCGTTGGCATTGGTCACTGACCAACACCGTGCATGTAACTGTTGTACACTGGAGATCGGATATAACGACCTTGCATATAACGACCTTGCATATAACGACCTTGCATATAACGACCTTGCATATAACGACCTTGCATATAACGACCTTGCATATAACGACAGATTGAGTTTAGCGACACAATTCTGTTGCCCAAGTCGTTTAGTAAGTCCTTTGTGAAGATCGGGCTTAGTGACAGATCGAATATAGTGTTCTCACCCGAAGGAGTGTCGTTATATCCAATCTCCCGGTGAGTGTACAATTGTACATGCTGCTAATGTTATCGATACGCATTGTGATAACACTGCCTACCTTTTAACAAGGTGATCTTCGGGCTTCTCCCCATAAGTCTGATTCTCTCGCTTCGCCAGCGCATCATTAAACAAGTGTGCTTCGTATTGGCCACCGTTGCGAGCAGACACCTCCGCCGTGAAGGACTTTTCAAAAGACTGCAGATTATCGTATTCTGTACTGGACCTGGTAAGACGCAGCTGCATGCGCACATAAGAGAACAATCCAGTATGAACACAAGTATCCAGTATAACAGACACAGAGCTGATGCATTCATTGCTGAAGTTTCCGGACAGTCCAAGCAAAGATTTGGCCCGATTCTATGCATGTATTTGACATGTTCATGCTGGCACATTGGCTTTTCCCTACCCATACATTATGTGCATCCATGGATGCAAGTTCTCGGCGGGTTGACTCAGGATCCAAGCAATGTAATGTGAAATGAATCCCCAGTTCTCACCTCAAGATACACCAGGACGGACGGGCAGTTGATGCTAGGAGGGTGCATGATTCTTGTAGCGCTGGCCGGAAACAGCGCAAAGCGTCCCAGACCTGGCTGAATGCACCCAGAGGACCGCGGGGACTGCTCCGCGGGGGAAAGCAGCAGAGTTTCACCGCCGTAGACTGGCATCCACCTTGCAAGGTAGATGTGGGCAACCAGGGAGGTCTAAACACAGCAGAACAAACATGTATCACATACAGGCCGCATTCTTGTAGGTGCACTCCGTTACCATGGTCACCGGCCTGACTGCTACTCCTGATTAGATGGCACCATGGCATGTGATCATACATACTCAGACAGCCGTACTATATGTGCATGTATACAGCGGAAGTCAAGATCCCAGCAAAGCAAAAGTACTTCTGGATGCATCATGGTTCCCAGGCCCAGGTGACCATGCTACGGCACACACATAGAATGACAACACGACTAACCTCTTTTCGCTCTTTTTGAACTGACTAAGCTGTTTCCCCTCGCTCCCTGTAGCTCTACCCTGAGGGTGTGGCAAGGGTCCATCTACATACAGTGTATTCTGTGTATATGCAGCCAGCCACTTACTTCATTTTGCTGACCGTTGTCGGGCAACACCTGGTCACCATGCCTTAGGACATAGCCGACAATACTGGCCAGTTGCCAATCCGCGACTGCACCGCCGTCGCCACCGCCGCTGCCATGCGTAAACAAACCGCTGGCCGCCGCCTTCACCTTGTGCCACTGTGCAGACTTGGAGAAGCCTTCAGATGACAGCATTGCCGTCCACGGTGCCCTGTTCTTCAGTGAATACGGCTGAGGCTCTGCAACAAACCAAGGTTGTACATGGATAGCGGAATAAGATTGTGCTGTAAGAGGTTCATGCCAAGCGCACTCTTCAGATAACAAACAGGAAAGTCCGGCTCTCGTACTAAACACAGGTATCATACGAGTAGGTGTGCACTAGATTTGTCTATGTGCATGGACTCCAGTGAACAGCAGCTCGGAATCTACCAAGTATAACTACGTGCAATAGCCAAGCAACTAAGGTTTACGAGTGTCAGGACAGAGGGGGTTAACCCCACCCGGCATCTCCAGAAGAAATTACTGTGCAGTGTAACCATTACCATGACTACAAAGTTGCCTGCGCATTGGTAGCTGGCGACTGCTTGTAGACGTGCCGCTATGCACCATGTACCGTGACTACAGCATCTAAAGTGGAACAAGACGTGGATCATGCTTAAGTGCCCTCTAATACAATAGCACTGCTGTATAGCACTGCTGTATAGCGCTGCTGTTGCTGAGCACTGACTCGGATGCACTACACTACATGTACGTGGTATGGATATCCGATATGGAGATGACCTGGAAAGGGGTTCTCTGCTGTGGCACGGTTTCTCCTCTGATAGAGTTACCGTCACTAACACCCTCTCTCGGTTATCCTTCTACTACTACATGTACATGTACATGCCGCCTGCGCTCCCAGTGATAATCACTAACAGCTACTGTTACTAGCATTGGGAAAGAACCCAATGCCATGCAGAGATCATTGCGTACCATACTCCGATGCATCCAGTCCGTGGAACATCCAGGATGTCATCTTGGAGGTCAGCCAGGCCTCCATCAGGCTCACCTCTTCCTGGCTGAAGACATTGTCCAGGACAATCAGCTGATTGCTGTCAATGGTGCCAAGTGGTACACTGTACGTCACATAGCTGCTTGCATTGACTACAACACACAAGCACAGAAAAGAAGGGGTAATAATTACTATTACAGTCAAACCTCTTTAGGACGAACACCAAGGGACCGATGATATAATTTTGTTCGCAATCACGGGAGTTCTTCTTATCCGAATGGTATACCCAGTGAATACACAGTGATTTATCCAATGGAGTTACGAATACTAGTTCACCATTTGTCTTATCAGTATCAGTGTTCTTCCTGACGAACTTTCACTGTGTGTACTTGTCACTGACTGTCAGTTCAACGGTAATCTCCCTGCTAAGCTTAGCGTATAAAAATACTGGGAAGTAATAACATTGGGCATGACTGTATGTTTCGAATCACGGACAGTGTAGATCTACCCTTTGTCATGAAGGCATGATGCGCACCCACCACACTATTGATTATCATAATGGAGACGTCACGAATACGGGCCATGCCAAGATCTCTCTACTAACTCACATTCGACGCTAACTTCTGCCTGTGTGGTTTCTCCATCGGTGTCGTCTTCCTCGTCCGCAGCGTGCTCGACCTCAACGGCTCTCCGCCCTTCGGAGTGTTCTTGCTGCTGGGATTCCGCCGTGCTGCTATGGAGTCCCAGAACAATGTAGATCACACACAGGAGCACCAATGTCGACCTCCGCAGCAGCAACCGATAAGCCATGATCGGTGCAGTGTTCTTGCGCACTATACCGTACACGTCCGTGTAGAGCTGCCTACAAAGGTCTGTTGTCACACTACCGGTATTTGGCAGAGTCGGAATTCCCGACAGCTCTATTAGCGTGGAGGATTTCGGATATCAACTGTGCTTCAAGTCAAGTAGTTAGAAGGCCTTCTTTTCGGTTTGCATGTTTAGGTCCACTCTACAGGTCATTTTGACGAATGAATCAAAACGAAAGTGGACTGTGATGATCGATGACGACCGATGTGCGTGCGATGGTCGCGCAAGAGCCACGACGCGATGACTGGTACTCAAAAAAGTAGTTACTTGACAGAAACCGGAAAAAATCTGATGAGATGCTTCCCTAGCAACACCTACTCCATGGGATCCCCGGGAACATACAACCAGTCCTGGTAGCTACGTAGATCTACATGGTCCTAGTACGAGTCCTACTCTGGAGTCTTCAGCTTCGCGGTGGCATTTGAATCACGAGCACACAACTACTTAGAACTAGTTACTTCACAAGTAAAGGCTCGACTTCTCAAGTAAAGAGTAAGACAAATAATTCAGACTGGGTGCATGCTTGGTAGCTTGTCCGACTCTCTGATCGAACCATGACGTGAAGCCGCACTTCGGGAAGGGGTATTTTCTATGAACGCCAGTCCAACCGCCAAGAAGTCTTTATCACGTTGTCCTCGTCCACCCAGCTAGTGGGATAACGTTACACTGTAGGATAGCGAGTGATCGGCGTTACTTTGGAGTTAGGCAAGGGTTGAAAGCATCCAGCCATAGCTCATTGAACGACAAAAATACTCTCAGGGGTCTCTGGGTAGGCATAGGTGGGCGCAGTACTCCTGACCTGAGTGAATGGTGTGGCAGTCATCGCCATCGACTGTGCAGATCGTTGGACGGCTCAACAACAGCGGACGCAGAGATGGAGGAGACCAGCTCCGCCGTCGCCACCACCAGCAGCAGCTCCGCAGGTGAAGGGACGGATGAGCAACATCAGGTGAGTCTGCATGTGTACATAATTCATGTACATCATATCGGCCAAGCCTTGAAACACAACCATACTCCAATGGGTATGTGCTTCTAGCCATAAAAGAATATAAAAGTACAATAACATTGTAAATGTACACTCAATCCCTGGACATGCATGCAGTAGGATCATCCTACTGAGTCACTGAAGTCAGCCTACATTTACCATGTTTACTTGGGTTTGAAACTTTGTACACCCGTGGCCAAAGAAATCCAACCCGCGAGTCGAAAGTAGAGTCGTCTTCCATTTCCATTACATCATGCAAGGTCCAAAACCCAATCTGAGGGCCGCAGCTGAAAGGCTACAGCTTGAAACCCATCAATCTCAAATCATTGAGACTAGAACGCATCTGGTAAAGGTGGTGGGAAGAGCGTTCCGCAAAGACGTGGTGAGTTGAAACGATTGGTCTGGGTTGTTCTTATCTAGGGCACCAGGGACCAGGTGTGTAGCTTGTGTACAGTCAGCATAGTGTGGTCACCACACCAGCAAATGGCTTTCATAGATACGACGAAATCAAAGTAGGCAAAAATGTTGACTATGAGGTTACCGGTGGTACATGGTCACCACACCACAGATGTACTCTGGTACATGGTCACCAAACCACGGATTTTCTCTGGCACACGGTCACTACAAGACTGATACAGTGTCTGCTATGACAAGTGCAAGCGGGCCTCATGAATATTCCGACCAACGAGTGCTATACACGACTGCACAGTGCGCATGATCCTGAATTACAGTCAGTGCATGTGAGCTAGGCCCAACTGCTCAGCATGTACCAGTGTGCAGTGTCACTGAATATACCGCGGTATTCACGAGGTTAAACTTCATTCCCCAGAGAACTATGCACCTACTGTTGGCAGTGGCTTCTTCCATTGTACTGTTGCTAATGTTGCTGCAGGCCCTATTATATCTCCTTTATTCACTTCTTTCGAAGGCGATAAGCCAGACCCACCGGGAAATATTTCCATAGGTGGGACGGCAAAAATAAAGTGAAAAAATAAAAAAGCTAAAAACCAAAGGGACAAGAAATAGGGGAAGGAAGAGGAAGAAAGGAAAGAACATCCATTTTTGAAATAAGTATTACAATGAACAAAACGTTCAATTTTCTGAGCGGACGAGCCATTGAGCCACGCTAAGGAAGCTCTGCTCATCAGAGCTCAGAAAGTGCAACCGTTCACATCGTTAGGAAAATTATTACTACAGTATTATTATTATTTTTAGGAAGTGTGAGTTACGAAGTCTGAAGAGAATGTTGAACAGTCTCTGCTGGGATGACGACTACACCATAGCTCAGTGGTTAGAGCATCGCTGGCTACAAGCGAGGGTCCCTGGTTCGAGTCCTGGTGGTGACAGTCAATTTTTTCTTCAGACTTTTCCCGTTTGTCTCTTTCCCTCAAACTAGTGTCTAGTTTATTATTATTATTATTATTATTTTTTGTCTCTTTCCCTCAAACCAGTTATTATTATTATTATTATTATTATTATTCCCGTGTCCGCCCCGAATGGGACTCACGGCGGCAGAATTGACTGTGAGCATGTGTGTGTGTGTGTGTGTGTGTGTGTGTGTGTGTGTGTCCCGTATGGTGCAGTGGTATGTGCAGCGATTTCCAATCGATAGATTGCGGGTTCGATTCCCGACGATTATGGTCACACACGTCTTTCTTCTCTTTCTCAGACTCTTCCTGACTTTTCTTTCATTCTCCTGGGTGGTTACCAACAGCCAGTGCATGCCGGAGTATGTGGTGTGATGTGTGTGGGGAAAAAAAATGAAAAAGACCAAAAATAGGGATTCACTGGCCAGAAAATGTCACTCCAAATAGCTGTATGGTGTAGACCAGGCTGAATAGTGACGGTCAATTCTTCAGCCTTGCAAGCTGTTGAATGGTGTAATCCCAGCACAAGTTGCTATGGCTTATGCCGTAGCATTGCTATCATCGCCTCCGGCGATGGGCGTAAAAGGTCAAAGGTCAGGTGTGTGTGTGTGTGTGTGTGTGTGTGTGTGTATGTGTGTGTGTGTGTGTGTATGTGTGTGTGTGTGTGTGTGTGTGTGTGTGTGTGTGTGTGTGTGTGTGTGTGTGTTGCTGCAGGCTGGTGGAGCACAGGCCGGTGCCGGGATGGACACGCTCAGCGAAGGTAGCGAAGACGAGTTTGAGACGGACGGCAAGACGAGCACGGGAAGGGAAACAGAAGACGACGGCCAGAGTTCTGATGATGAGATAGCCAGCGACGAAGAAAGTGAAGGTACACATCACTTACTCAGGGGCCTAGCAGCCGGTCCGGCTTTGGCGGGACCACTTTTTCACCCGACCAAGCCCAGAATGCAGGATTTTGCACCCTAATTTCAAAAATTTCCCGGGAACATCCTGACCCCCTCCGGCCGGACCACCTCCATTGGCGGTGCTACGCACCTGCTTACTTGCACGTGTACTCACACGTGTATACATGTATGTGTGGCCACGGGACAGACTGGAGACTTCAATAACAACTGGGTGCTCCAGGGATTTGTGCAGATCAGTGAATGGTGGCAACTTGGTGTCGACTTTCTCTAATTTCTTAGCTTGCATGTGTATCTCCCACTCAGCTGCATGCACCCGTGTTCACACACACACACACACACACACACACACACACACACACACACACACACACACACACACACACACACACACACACACACACACACACACACACACACACACACACACTTGTACTTGTTGCTCACTGCCAAAACTGGTCACGTGGGTCTCCCCGGGAAAGGGGAGAGAGACTCAAAAGGAATCCTGGAAAGATGGCTCAATTGGCTATTGAACCGCCCAACGGCCGACACCCCCTGAAATCCCCAAAACTCTGGGTGGACTTGAAAATGATCCCACTTATGGGCTCACCACACCTCAGTAAGTGGGTGAGGACAAGGTGCAGAAAAAGGATTGACGGCATCAGGGTATCCGTCCCGGGATCCAACTGCAGTTACCCCTGCCCCCAGTGAAGGTAATACTTGCTACTAGTGTGGGTGGCTAAATCAGAGTGAATCTGATATAAGCATCACTAGCACCATTGATTACACAAGAGTTAATCTAGCCAGAAGCAGTCCATTAACACACACACACACACACACACACACACACACACACACACACACACACACACACACACGTGTACACCTTTTTCCACATCCATCCCAGCATTGCACATCCCCTCCCAGTACTTCTATTTCCACATTGTTGACCTCCGCTTCGGCCTTACGTTTACACTCCACACCAAAACATCAACTCGCTGATCTTTGAACACACGTTGTGTGAATGTATGTGACGGCGGATTTGCACATGGCTGCCATGTACACACATGTATGCCTACCTGCAGAGGAGAAGCCACCTTACGATCATGTACACTCATGCATGCTTACCTGCAGAGGAGAAGCCACCTTACGATCCCAGCGGGCGGCAAACATACCGAAACGCATGCCGACGCCTAGGAGTGACACCGGCCGCATGCTTCATGAAACTGTGCGAGAGCGAGGAGATCGACATGGGCCACTATGGTGTGGGACCGAAAGGAGCGACAGCCATAGCTGTGGCGATGGGGGTAAGAATTTGGCCGTATACAGTATAGTCGGACCGAGATAAGTACCTGTGGCTATGAACGTGGCACATGAAATCCAACCTCCTGCATCAATCAGTGCTGGGTTCAGTGCTGCGTTTAGTGCGTTATCCAAATAGCTGACCTCATGCATGCGAAATCCAACCTCCTGCATCAATCAGTGCTGGGTTCGGTGCTGCGTTTAGTGCGTTATCCAAATAGCTGACCTCATGCATGCAGTACAGCCCAGCAGCTGGTGTATCCATTACGTTGGATTTCACTTGCAGCAATGGTTAGTACTGGTTACTGTAGTAGGCGCCGGGATGATGGTCTACAGAAGCCCGTGTTTGTGTATGAGTGTGTACAAGTCACGCTTGCTGTCCGTGTCCGACACCTTCCCAGTATTTCTGTTCATACCCCGGACACGATTTGACCACGAACGCAGTGCAATTGAGTTGTGCTGGATCAGGCGCGTGCGCCGTATGGGTTCCTGGGTGCCCGGAACCCCCCTTTTTTCGCTCAAAATGCAGGATTTTGCTTCATTTTTTGAAAATTTTCCCGGGGCAGGCCCACCGGAACCCCCCCCCCCTTGAAGGGCACCGGCGCACGCGCCTGTCAGGATAGGGCATACCATACACGTATTGAAGAACTCCTTTCGTGTTGTTCCTCTTCACCCCGGCACGTGCATGCCCTGGTGCATTGCAGAGCAACACGAAGGTGCTGCGCTTGCTGCTGAACAACAACGGTCTGTACGAGGATGGCTGCCAGGCCATCTGCAAGATGATGGAGGACAACTGCTACATCACACACCTGGACCTATCCTGCAACCAGATGAGAGCGGTTGGCAGCATGGCGGCACAGAAGATGCTCAAGAACAACAACACGTTGTCGGATTTGACGTGTTCAGGTGAGCCCCTGGTTCCACAGCCAGTACAGGCACATATAGAGTGGTTTCACATATTTGTCATGTGACTACAAGTACATTTGTGTAGAGAGTGATCATGGCATGTGGACAGTGGATCCAACATGGCCAACATCATGTGACCCATAGATGCAGGAGTTAGACATAGCCCGATTTTGCTAGCAATTCTGCTGGCAAAATATCGAAGAATTTTGACGAGAGAATTTGCTGGCAAAATGGAGCAAAATATCGGTATGTTCGCGGGAAATTGGGAGATTTTACACTTATACGATGCATGTGACTCATTTTCGTACATTTTTGCCAACACGTGCTCATTTTTTCTTATTTTTGCCAACACGTGACCCATTTTCGGTCAGTTTTCCTACACGTGACCCAAATTTGGCCTTGCATTGGAGCAAAAAGGGAGCAAAATATCGAGTGACCTGGCAAAATGAAAGCAAAATATCGACGATGGGCGAGCAAAATGTTGCGGCAAAATATCGAAGTTTCCCTGGCAAAATCGGGCTTTGCCTAGCAGGAGTTGAGTGGAGTTGGAACCAACATGGCTACTCTGTATGGTCATGTGATAGATGTGAAACCACTCTATGCATCATGGTGAATTCCTAAGCTAGGCAGGTGCTGCAGCTGTGTTTGCCGACTTCTATTCCATTGCACTGCTATGCTGACATAGCACACCATGGGCCGCACAGGGCAGTGTTGTCTTTACAGGAGCTGCAAACATGTCAGGTTGGTCAGCATGGTGTTGATAGTTGACGCAGATAGAGATGATTGCTAATACGCCGTTGCAAATGTGCTCTCTGTGGCATTGCCCGCGATGCCCGAAACTAAAGTACGAGTACATGTACTGGGCGGACAGCATGCCACACTTGAAATGTACACAAGCACAATTAAGTATCCGCATGTAACATTCACACACCTGTAACAGTAGTAAGTGCATTGAATGTAGACCTAACATCATGTATTCTTCCTCCATTGTGGCTACAGGAAACCTGTTTGACGACCAATGTGCAACCCACTGGGCCGGTGCTATACGGGTATGTTCTGTTGAGGACAAGTACTTGTTTATTTGAAGTACATCATTACAGTATTGCTATTATTACTATGATATGACTAAAAGCAGGGACAGCAACTCCCACAGGACGAACAAGAAGACTGAAAGACTGAAAAGGCAAGACTGAAGACTCACAAATCACGCATGCTCATATCACACATGCACGAGAGACAAGAGACAGTTTGGGGAATGTCATTATACAGGAAAACAATACATCGCTCTGCAACAGTTGCCGCAATGCTTAGGTCATAACATAAGTAAATAATCATCTTCAGCAGAGGCGCACACATGCTGGAACATTTCTATTTCTGATTTAGACAACATTTCCTGGCATGTTAGGATACTGCCAATCATAGAGTTGAGATGAAGGTTGAGAGACAGCCATGACATTTGCTGTACTTTGGGCATGTTCAGTGCTGTGCACAACATCACCAAGAGTCTCTACAGGATTGGAACTTCAGCAACTTACACATGCTGATACCAATGTTATCCTGTATTACTGCAAGTCAACAACATATTGGCGCATATTTATCTTCGGCTATTTTTGGCCTGATTATATTTGACCGAAAATGTGTTGCAGGCGAAATTTTGTTTTGCAAGGTTCAGTGTGACAGTGTATACAGCCAGCAGCAGTACAGGCCGAAAATGTGTCGCAGCCGAAATGTGTTTTAGCCCTGGGAAGCCGAAATTTGGATGGGCCGGGAAATTTGTCGACTTACAGTATGTACATGACTGTATAGTCAGTAGATTGTAGTGCATTGTACATGTAGTATGGCAGGTTTCTAGAACTGTGCATTGTACATGTAGTATGGCAGGTTTCTAGAACTGTGCATTGTACATGTAGTATGGCAGGTTTCTAGAACTGTGCATTGAGCCGAGATGCATCTCTGACGCTAGAATCGTATCTGCTGCCATTACAGACGACTTTACATCTGAAGAAACTCGACCTCAGCCACAACGAGTTTGACGAGGAAGGAGGTAAAGTGCTGGGCCCAGCAATAGGTGAGTGCATGTACATGTACTGCCCGGTGCTGGTGCAGCTGTAGGAAACCAGTCCAAGGTAGTAGTAGCTACAGTGTATACTGTATAGGGTGAGTTCAAGAGTCCATTTATGGACTCTTGGTGAGTTCTGGAACACTTGTGACGTCAACGGATGAAATTCATGAAAACATGCAATTGTTTGCCAATTTTTCCTGCATCACATGAAAAGTACTCCCGGTCTTACTAGCTGTAGCTACCACCCATCTGGTCCATTGGCTCACCAGAGGAAGGATGTGGATGGAAAAGTGAGGCTCCTGGCTCCTGGCGCACTGTGTTGCTTTGTCCCATGTTTACAAGCGGGTGCAACACACATTCAAGACACCAGATGCACACATTAGAGCGGGATTGGAATCGAACAATAGTGTTACACGACAGTGTAGTTTCAAGTGCACACTCCCGGTTTTAAAGAGTGTATTTGTACCGTTGTGTATGTACCCGGCAGCCAAGCAGAGCAGATGATTGTGCCGATTGCATACCTGTACATCACACAGACTCCTCTGGATATACCTGGTAACCTAAAAGCATATGAAGTGGCAGAGATACTTGTACGAGCATCATGAGGGGAAAGGACACAGCCACCTGCTAATGCCTCTTTCCTGTTGATTGGTTTGACTGCAGGAGATAACGAGTCACTGCAAGAGTTGAGCCTACGTTGGAACCATCTTCGACTGGACGGTGCAGTAGCAATTGCAATGGCGATGGGGGTATGTAGTAGCGTCATGTACACTCACTGGCAGCACGTCATGTTATGCATTGTAGTCCAGGGGCATAGCCCGCACTGGCCCAACCGCTGGCATGTCCCCGTTTGCAAAGTTGAAGCATTGTATGTTGATATTGACGACAAGCACCGGTATCGACCATGTACATTGTAGATGGTGTGTTGTAGAACATTGCACCGGGGGTATTCTTATGTAAGCCTTGCTTTCTTGATAGTTTAGCATGTATGATGCTGTCCTCATCAAACACTGTATTCCGTAAGAAGTTACCAAGTTGATAATCTGTAGGGCAAGACTACTGGTACTTGCTATGTGACCATGTGCATATGCTCTCCGCATGCAAAGTGTTATCATTGCTCTCCGCATGCAAAGTGTTAGCATTGTTCTCCGCATGCAAAGTGTTAGCATTGCTCTCCGCATGCAAAGTGTTAGCATTGCTCTCCGCATGCAAAGTGTTAGCATTGCTCTCCGCATGCAAAGTGTTAGCATTGCTCTCTGCATGCAAAGTGTTAGCATTGCTCTCCGCATGCAAAGTGTTAGCATTGCTCTCTGCATGCAAAGTGTTAGCATTGCTCTCCGCATGCAAAGTGTTAGCATTGCTCTCTGCATGCAAAGTGTTAGCATTGCTCTCCGCATGCAAAGTGTTAGCATTGCTCTCCACATGCAAAGACACCACCCACCAGCAGGTACTAGTCAGACAAAAAGCAGGCGACAGGATCGTGTGAGTTCCCAGAGAATCACACACATTACGATTCCTCTTTTTTAATATCTCTATGTCTTCTACGAGATACCTAAAACAACTTGCACTATCTCTAACTGCATGTGTACTGTCCGCCTACTCCTGTTGTCATTCAGAGCAATCAGATGCTGAAGGTACTCGATCTGGCATGGAACGGCTTTGCCAACGAGGGTGCCGCGGCGATGGGTGAGGCGCTCAAGTCCAATAGCTCACTGGAGGTGCTCGACCTGAGGTGAGCTGCTGACTGGATATGCATGCGGCTGTGTGCGTGTGTAGACTATCAGGGTCTTGATATGATGCAGCGCTAAGACGGTGGTATCAAAGCCCAAGAATGTGTGACTTCTGATAGAATGGAAGGGTAACAGTTACGTATGGCGGCTTGCTCGTTGTTCTTGGAATTATAAGAGCTTTGACAAAGGTAGTTCCCTCAATTGGACCTAATCAGGATCCTGTAAAAACAAAGGGGGGCGAGGAGCCGCGATTTTAGTTGGAGTTGAGTTCTCCAGTAGGTAAATAACTCTTTTTCGGGTCGGATGTTGTAGAAACACCTCATCTCCGTTCCGCGATAGGCTGGTCCGCTAGTTAGGCGACTACTGGGCAATGTAACTTCATTTTCTACAGTAAGTCTACACATTTTCGGCCCATTCAAATTTCGGGCCCACAGGGCTAAAACATCATTTTGGCCACATTACATTTTCGGCCTGTACTGCTACTGTCTGTATACGCTGTCACACTGAACCTTAGGCCTTGGAAAACAAAACTTCGGCCGCAACAGATTTTCGGCCAAATATGACCAGGCCGAAAATAGCCGAAAATAAATATGCGCTGAATATTTGCTGACTTACAGTATTCATAATTATAGCCATGTGACTAGGGGCGGTTCCAACGCCATTACAATCAACTCATGTGCGGGTCACTGAAAGAGCCAGTTTGGCAGTGACTCCGCGTAGCAGTACAAACGCCAAAGGATACAATTATATGAACTGCTGCCAACCAGTGTCCCCGTATGTACATTGTAGACATGCTAGCACACTGGAGCATGCACATATCCGTGCAACACACTCGTAGAATACACTGCAGTGTACTAGCACACTGCAGCATCCCGACATGCCCGTACAACACACTCGTAGAACACACTACAGTGTACTAGCACATTGCAGCATCCCGACATGCCCGTGCAACACACTCGTAGAGTACACTCGTGCATACATGTACCTGTGTTGCTTCTAATGACAGCTTCAACCGCATATCAGAGGACGGCGCAAAGCTTCTGGCAAAGGGAATCGCTGTCAACGAATCACTGAGAGTCCTCAGGGTAAGCCAGCTCCTTTCCATGTGTGAGATTAGTAGACATCCAGAGTGAATTTGGACTGTGATGAACTCGGGTAGCCAGGCCTCCCGCTTGGACCCACCTCCTTCTACACATGCACACAGGCACACAGATTTGAAACTCTGTTGTGAATACATAATCCGTGTCAAAGTTAGCCATCACCCACACTCACAACTAAAATGGCAGGGGTTCCCGTGCCGTTCATATTGGACTACAGTACTAGTAGGATAAGCCATCTCACCATGCATACACGAATGACACACACACACACACACACACACACACACACACACGCACACGCACACACACACTACTACTACTACTATTGACAGCTGCCAGGATTGGCCACACCGCTCCCAGATGGGAGGTACTGTCAGAGAGGTTAGGGGGGAGGAAGGCAATGCTCCAAGTGGCGCGCACACACACACACACACACACACACACACACACACACACACACACACACACACACACACACATGCACACACCATTGGACCATTGGACGCCCATCGCCGGAGGCGATGATAGCGATGCTACAGCAGAAGCCATAGCAACTTGTGCTGGGATTGCACCATTCAACAGCTTGCAAGGCTGATGAATTGGCCGCCACTATTCAGCCTGGTCTACACCACACAGCTATGAAGTGGCTTTTTCTGGCCAGTGAATCCCTAATTTTTGGTCTTTTTTATTTTTTTCCCGCACACACATCACACCACATATTCCGGCATGCACTGGCTGTTGGTAACCACCCAGGAAGAGTCTGAGAAAGAGAAGAAAGACGTGTGTGACCATAATCGTCGGGAATCGAACCCGCAACCTATCGATTGGAAATCGCTGCACATACCACTGCACCATATGGGACACACACACATGCACACACACGCGTGCACGCACACACACACGCGTGCACGCACACACTCACTTTCAGTAGCGTTGTCTGCACCTCACTATTGGTATCCTTGTGCTGCACACTTCTTCCATTCATCCAGCTTGGGAGCAATCCACTCGCTACTGGCGGTGTCAGCGCCATCCTCCAAGCCATCAAATCAAACTCCAACAATATCATTGAAGAGTTACGCTTTGATGTAAGGACAACATTGCCTGAAGGTAGACTACACAGTGCATATAGCACTGCGTGTATTTAGAAATACCGGCTAATCAGTTGAGTGACAGCATGGGACAACAGAGAGCATCATTGAACACTCCGCTGCAACTGCATGCTCTGCAAAGGTGAAATTCTACAAAGCTTTCTTTGCACAAACTTGAAATGCCACTGTGTCGCACTGTGCATGTATCTCCCTCAGAACATCACCATTACGCGCGACCTGATGGACCTGTTGAACGAGCTAAAGACCTCTCGGCCCAAGTTTACAGTGACTCACGGCGGACTGGGAGGTGCTGAGGCACGCCAGGAAAATGACAAGCGGAAAGATCCAATGGTGCTGGTCAAGCAGTACATTGATCGAGCTAACCTCCGACTGGTGGATTTCTTCAACAGTATCGACAAGGACAAGAGCATGTCCGTCACCAAGGAAGAGCTCGAAATCGGACTGGAGGTGAGTCGCTGCTGGTGCGGGAGTTGCTGTTACGCAGGACACCACATGTACAGTTGTGCACACCTGCACGCCTGCCTAGTGCTTTCGATGCTGAACTGTATGCGCAATGCTACCGCTCACGCTTTCTTCTACGGGGCCCGTAAGTAAACAAGTGGGCTGTGTTGAGCGTGTTTACTGTTTATTTACCTGTACAGCATACATGGTATTCACACTGTGTCTCCTCCACAGAGAGCCAAGGTTCCAATGACCAAGGAACAAATCAGGGAGCTGGTCACGAAGCTTGACAAGGATGGCGACGGAGAGATCGATTACGGGTGAGTGCTCTTTCCACTCGTACTGCGATGCCGCAAATTAAACGCCTTTGCATGTCTACAAGATGCCGAAGAATATCTCGAGTTACCTGCAGCATCAACTGTAGATAGACACGGATACACAATCAGATTGTATACATGTACATGATGTACGGCTACAGCAAAATTTCAGGTAATTTAGGTGGCACCAAATTAGGCAGCAAGACATTTTCAGTGTGGCTTGGTTTCTGGCTGTGTTCATGCATACAACTACAACCAATGCATGTGCGTGTGTGTATGTACGTGTGTGTATGTACGTGTGTGTGTGTGTGTGTGTGTGTGTGTGTGTGTGTGTGTGTGTGTGTGTGTGTGTGTGTGTGTGCATGCGTGCGTGTGCATGCGTGCGTGTGTGTGCATGTGTGTGTGTGTGTATGCATGCACACCTTCGTCCACAATTCACGTTTGCACAGTGAGTTTGTCTACGGAGCACAACAGGTGACACAGGCTGAGCGCGAGGCCAAGAAGAAGCGTAACCTGGAGGTGAAGAGGCGACAGCAGGACGAGGCCAACAAGTCACAGGTGTTCAAGCAGCAACAGGAAGAAGCACAAACCGCAGCCGCCTCTGCAAAGCGCACCGATGCCTGATGCCTGAGAATGTCCCAATGGCCCACAGGCATTGATACCTGTAGAGTCAATGTGCGAAACGTGGCAATGCAGTACCGGGGACAGCTGACGACTATACTCACACCGCAAGTACAAGAACACCGTGACAGCAGCCAAAGGAAGATGTGCAAGGAGGGAGGAAAGCGCTAGACACAGGTCTTGAAAGCCCAGACAGCCCTTGAACCACTTCAACTACAGATCACCACACGTTTGTTTGAAATAGTATGCACTGGATGCAAGATAGACTCGGTGATAATGTAACATATTGATATCAGACAAAACTAAGAGATTAATTACAGCACATGCAGCACAAGTCTTGACTACTCAGCAGAAATAATAATTCTAGTAGAGCAAAGGAATGCACGGCTTGTCGTCCATCCGCTGGAACGTGTGTTATGGTCTGACATTGATTTACAAGCAGGAAAAGAGACAATTTAAAATGATGAATATGTATGTGGCAAACTGTTTTTGAGACAATGATGACCACACACTCTGGAGGAAGTGGAGCAGGCTTTACCATGTATCTTGCTCCCACAAACAATGTCATCACTGCGATGTGCTCTTGCTATTAAATACTTCAACAAGTACTATAATAAAGCAGTGGCCATTGCTGATGCATTATGACGCTCACAGAGCAGTGTTCATTTCATTTGATGAATCTACGGCTACACATTATGAGCACATCCTAGCCGCACCGCCCGTAAGCAGGTAGCAATCTTGCTCTATTAGATCCTCATACCACAGTCCAAGGGAAGGGAAGAGTGAATAATCATCATCAACCCTAAGGGAAGTTAGTTAGCCTTCCTAAGCTAGTGCACACCTCACCACCACCAGGAAGACTCACCAGACTCAAGCACTGCAGTAACCCGATTAACAACCGCACCGGCTCATGATGCAATGCTGTACCGTTAGCACAGCCATGGCCCTGGGAAGGCAAATGGGGCAGTTCACAATGCAAGCCACCATTGGATACGACCGATCACTTAGCTCTTCTTCTTCTTCGCTGCGGCAACCCCGGCTTTAGCAGCACCAGACCCGCCTGCTGGCTTCTTGCTGTCCTGGCTACTTGGCATGGCCACGACACGAAGGTTGACGTCATTGGATGTGGCCTGTCGTGCCACGTCGTGCTCGATTTTCTGGACCAATGCCCGAGTCAGATCCTGCGCAACGCACGGACAGAGAGCAGAGCAACATTGTGGAAATGTGTGGCAACTGGAACACTGTGAGATAGCGGCAGGCACCGTTACCGGCATCTAGAGTTGTCACATGGCCAAGTATCTCTGCAGATATCCAGTCAGGTCCTCATCAAGCCACTTGCACTCTGCTCTGACGATACTCTGGCCAATGGACGGAAAAGTTTGAAATCTACAAGTACATGTACCATGGTCTATGCACAGTTGAGTCACCGTGTATACATCGATATGCGGTGCTTGGTGAAATTCTAGCCTGTTCGTTCTTTGGCGCTTCACCAAAACAAAGGCCTATACCACGATGGTGAAATGAACCATGAAATACAGGATAGATGTGTCGATTTCGTGGCAACAAAATCTGGGTGCTGCTTCAGGGGCGTCGCACACGGTACAGTCACTATGGTATTGACCGTACCACTATTTGCCCCAAGTACCCCGTGAATCAATAAAATGCACTGATTTGGGTTCTAAATTTCCAAATTTTTCCGCTCAGCCATCCCTCCCCCACGAGTAAATTGTACTTCAGATGGCTGACCGTACCACACTAAAATACCTTCCGACGCCCCTGTGCTTATACTCCAGTGCGGCTCATACTCCGGAAAATACGGTACTTTATGTCACATAACTTTACTTCACAAAAGCAGCTCAACACACCAGAACACAGTGCGGGCTGTGCACTGTGCACTGTGCAGCCGTGACGTCTACAATACAACACTTCAAACTGCTGACTACATGGTCAGGACCAAGAGGTCATGATTTCGGCACAAGCACAGACAAGCACAGCCCCAATACGTACCGTCTTCAGCCTGGTTGAGCTAATGGCAGCTGGACGCCTTGGCGCCTTCACACGGCGGCCTGTAAATCACATACAAGTATGCACAACAATACGCAAGCACCAACACGCGCACGTACACACGCACACACACACACACGCACACACACACACACACACACACACACACACACCTTACAACTGCTATCCCAAAGTACTTCAAAGCGATGAGGAAAACAGCACAACTTGCAGTTGCGCCGACCTAGGTTTGCAGGACGTGTTAGCTTCCAAAAACATGTCAGGCAAGGTACAGTGTGTTGAGAGAAGTACGTGGCCACAGACTGACAGTGACACGGACGTAGATTGCATTCGGATAGAGAAATCACACTAACCAGGATCGTGGCAGTGTCAATTCCATAGGGAGAACAGCACTAGCCAGCAAGACCACCTGCACGTTTGGCCAACGCGTCTCGTTTGTTTGGTGCGCTACGTTATTTGGTCTTCAGGAAATCATCATGTTCCTGTGTCGAGACTAAGGCATGCACGAGCTCAGCGGTGTTCGTGCTCGGTTTCTACACCTGGCAAATCAGGACTGCGGTTGTCTACTGACTGCCTGTGTTCGTTGCTGTGCTCAGTATTCCTGGACACATGACCGGTGACCCAGTGGCAGGAACATGCCTACAATTCAGAAAGTCAAACTCCAACCAATGAAGAAGATGCTCCACTGGACAGGCGGTGTCGCACGAAAGAACAACTCGTGCATGCCGAAGTGTGTACTATTTGACGAGAGCTGGAGAAGACACAGCCACGACATGGAGCACTAAGCGGCATTGGTGGGACAGGCTTGTCTCCGACTTGGAAGATTGCCTGATTGTATTGACTTCAGTTCCTCAAACCCAGACCCTCATTCTGTGGAACAGTCAAATTCTAGAATATCGCATTGAGTATATTGCTTTGTCGGAGAGAGGAGATGTTCGTGCCCTTGATATCTGAAGTCTCATTTCCATACAACGAATTTTAGGTGCTCAGCGCTTTTTCAGGGGATGAATTTCGGCTTGTTCTGGTCGGGTTGCAGCGTCGCCGACTATGCCATTGTCTTCAGCGTCGAGAAACTACAGGCCATGCGAAATTTCGAGGCGGGGATACGTTTTTGTCTTCCCCTATGAGCAATTTTGTTTCGGGCCAGCATACCAATAATTATTTTGCAATATCATACGTGCACTGTACGTACAGTTCGAGTGACGAGGCTTTGTACATGTGCACTGCTGCAGTCGTCTTGAAATTTTCTCGATTCTCCCATCATTCCCATTCATTTCTGTTTCCAACTTCAAATCACTATAGCTCAAGAATGGCTGGGCGGATTTGAATAATACTCGGAGATGTCATATACTATGCTCTGGAGAATCGAATGAGACCAAAATCGGAGCGATTGGAGCAAGTTTGAAGTCACTACTGATTGTGGACTGGTGTACCCTGCACAAACTCAGTGAGTGGCGAACAGCGTGTCCAACTACTTGTACTTAGCTACTGCGAACAGGGACATAGTATCATCTTCGGATGATTCTCACGGTGGCCAGTGGCCAATAAGAGATAAAAGCGCTAAACGAGCATACAGAATTATGGAACTGTAGGGATATTCTGTTCCTGTGTGTGTGTGTGTGTGTGTGTGTGTGTGTGTGTGTGTGTGTGTGTGTGTGTGTGTGTGTGTGTGTGTGTGTGTGTGTGTGTGTGTGTGTGTGTGTGTGTGTGTGTGTGTGTGTGTGTGTGTGTGTGTGTGTGTGTGTGTGTGTGTGTGTGTGTGTGTGTGTGTGTGTGTGTGTGTGTGTGTGTGTGTGTGTGTGTGTGTGTGTGTGTGTGTGTGTGTGTGTGTGTGTGTGTGTGTGTGTGTGTGTGTGTGTGTGTGTGTGTGTGTGTGTGTGTGTGTGTGTGTGTGTGTGTGTGTGTGTGTGTGTGTGTGTGTGTGTGTGTGTGTGTGTGTGTGTGTGTGTACCCAGTCGCAGCATTGACAAATCCACATTAGCTACTTTTTCGGTTGATGACATAGAGTGTCGTATTTCATCTTACTCTATGCGTGCGACCGTACAATAAATACAGAAGTGTTCATGTGCTAGCAATTGTACATTGTACATGTACATTGCCCAATGAAATAATATGAATGATTTATTTTGATGACATTTTCTCAATAGCATGACATTTTCTCAATAGCATCATGCAACAAAGTCTTACAAGCCAGTATACAATGCATAGACATACGCTGCGTACTTACCAACGCGAGGAGCGTCTTTCTTGCTTTGTTTGGCTTTCCTAGACGAAGACGATGACTTCTTGGCAGGGTTCTTGCTGAATTTCTTCTGTCCCTGAGCCATTTCTGCTATCAACAGGCTAAATGAACGAAATGCTTGTAATTGTCACGATATTTCGCCCCAGCACAGAGCAAACGGTAAAGCAGTTGAGTGGAAAATAGAAAGACTTCACAATCTTTATTTTTAGGACGACTTGTGATTATCGATATGCGCATAATATGCAAGCACCGTTTTCGATTTTTTGTTTCATGAATCATGAGTGATATCGATGACTTCATGCATCCAGACGAAAAATGGCGGCGGGGTCACCGGGGTCACGGCGGGGTGACAACTACGACGCCGCGGCGTCGGTGTAGGCCAGGAGCTAGCTAGCTAGGCGAAAGTAACGTTAGTTGCAATGATGTAAATCATTTTCAAATTATTAGTCTTCTAATATTCTATGTCTTATCGAGATTTCTCAGAGGAGGTCTGCTGATTCCTTAGCTTCATCAAGATGTCCTCTCAATTTAGTTGGCTTGGATTTTTCACAGACGCAGGGATCCCCTTGCGCGAGGCGGAAAAGTATGGAGAATTCGAATTTCCAATGATGGTCTCATCATCATAATAATAATAATACTGATTTCATTACCTATTATGGTTTGTGTTGAACGACTCATTCACAGGTATAGCCTGCAGTTTGATGACAACAGGATGAAGCCAGACATGTTACCGGATCTCACCAAAGTAATTTTGTGTTGTTGATTGAGATGTAGCATGCCTATGCTTGTGGAACTGGAGAAGGACACGAGAAGGGTGCTCGTGTAACACTATGGGTCGTTTCATTACTTGGAGAAAATGAAAAAATCTTCTGGAACATGTCAGTGCATGGGTGAATAATGTGCACTGTCTAGCATACATGTACATGTAGGCATAGCTATGGTCACAATGGTCAGGTATGACCATTCTGTTATCACTAGCCCGCCATCATGTGCTTCGAACTCCGGGGGATGAGAACACTTCGCAGTACACAGACGGTTGGGTGTTGACATGTCCGACTAGCTTCTGTATTAGTAGCCGTGCTTTAACTTCATCTACCCGCGTTGTGCTGCTAATCCATTCAAACCTCAACTCAAACAAATGCCAGTACACATATAATTTCGTCCAGCAGCATCTTTCTCCGTCCAGCTGCTTCCTAGTAGTGCGAGGAGCTCGGTCTGAAAAGCACATGTTGGATTGTTTATGCCATGTCTTACAGGAGCTCCTGAATGATCTTGGGATATCACTGATCGGTGATATCCTGGCTATACTTCGGCATTCTCGACAAGTGCAAAAACAGGTAAGTGTGACTGCTGACATCGATGTGGCGTCGCAATAATCATGAACAGCATCGACCACTGGACCAACATAGCTCATGGCTGAATGAGATACTCGAAGTGCAGGGTTGTGTACTTTGACATTCACGTACACAAACTGATCACCCCATAAAGTTCAGAAGCTGATGCCTCGGTACTGTCGGGCGCTGAAGAATACCAGGGATCATAGTCATGGACGGCTTGGTCGTTCATGACTACGGTGTATGTGTAGCTGAATCACTGCATACCGCTGTGCTGTACCGCGCTATACTTCCTGTCCTGTTCGGTCTTTGATGCTCGGCAGTGCTGTGGGCAATGTCATCACGTGATGCACAGTGTTGCTCTCCGCCACTCTGTGCCTGTGTTCTGTACTGCAGCTGGAGCGTAGCAAGACATCCGTCATTGCGTCATCTCGCGCGGCCGACCCCGCGCAGCGCACCGGCAGCTCGGCTATCTCCACACAGTCCACGGTGATGCTTGGCGACGATTCCCACAAGGCCAAGCGCCGGCCAAAGTCCACCAAGAGCAAGGCTACCGCTGTGCAGCCTGCTATTGTCGAGAGCAGTACTGTCTTGTCATCATCACAGATGCCTGCAATACCATCGTCAAATAATAGCAATGTTTCAATGGTAGGCCTAGATGGTAAGTCATTTTGATTAAAGATGTACAAGAGAATGTTTCCTCCTGGCGGGAATGAAGTAGCACCCAGAATGAGGGTTAGCCAACCTCTCGCTTGGAAGAGCTCCCTACCATGCAGGACCGTGGATGTTTAGCCAATTCAATCTGTAGTGCTCATCTCAAACTATTCATCAGTTCGAGGGATCTGTGGTTTTTTTTCATTTTGTACCTGGTTCCAAAATCCATGATAATATTAAGGGCGCATTCGAATTGTCACTCTTTGACTTTTCGAGGAGGTTCGTTTTTCTGAAGAGGTGGCCTTATTGGCCTCTTCAGAAAAACGAAACTCCTTGAAACTTCACAACCTCATCCGATGGGAGAGGTGGATTAGTTCCGAAGAGTTTGGAATAGCTACGTCACGTAGTACGTGGAGATGGTCGATCTGATCGGACATCATCATCGCCATGGCAATTCCACTGAAAAACTCTAAAATGATAGAAACCGTTCTAATGGGACACTTCAACTAATCTCTTTTAAGACTTTATTCGAACAGTTGATGAAGACAATTCGAACGCCCCCTAAATGTGATGTGTTCTGATCCTAGCCCTAGAACATCCTAGTATGGTATGTTATCATAGCATGGTATTTTATTTGACTTCGTCAAATGAGTAGTGAGTGCAAGTTCACACCGAGTCATGTACAGTGGTTTAAAAACTTGTGCCGAAACCTGCCCACAATGCGGCATGTCCTGTTGTCCTGTACAATGTGCTTGCAGAAGTGATGGAGGATCAGCCCAGGCGAATTGTGACGCGGCCTGCTTCTGCGCCTGTGGCGGCTTACCATACTGATGCTATGGTCAGCAATGAGGCTCAGACAACTGTCATCCGCCGCGCGGAGCAACCTCAGTCTGCCCTCAACCGGCTTGGAAATGGTGTTGCATCCACAAGCGGGTCATCGGGTGCCAGTTCTGTTGGCTCCTCAATGGATGGCATCTCTCAGTTGCGGAACCTTGTCTCTTCTCAAAAATCATCGGACCGCGGTGGTCGACGCGTTGAAGCCGTATCGAAAGATGCACCATTGGTGCCCAACACAGCGGAGAATGTCCAAGCGGTCCGTCAAACCGTGTCCGTTCGGCTCCCGTCTGACACACCGCCATTGGCCCGAAACAGTGCCACTTCAACCAGGCCAACCTTCGCCATCAGGACTGCCGGGGGCAGAAGCACTACTGCAACCGTTGCTAGAGATGATAGTTACGATGACGACGACAGTGATACTGATGGTGCGGGTGATGGCGACAGTTTGCGGCGCATTGTGCAGTCCGTCAGCTCAACAGTGGACCCGTCTTACCAGCGGCCCGTGCAGACGGTCACCTTATCCGGTCGCCAGGTGGAAGCCGTGCCTACAAGCTCGACGACCGCAGTGCGGCAGCAGCAGCAGCCTGGCGGCGCCACTGTGCGCATGCAGAGTGTCGTCAAACCAACCATCACCCGTGTCATACCGCTCTCGGTGACTCGCGGTGAAAGTACACGCAGCAGTAGTAGTAGCTCTACGAGTAGTCGCCAGCAGCTGTCATCTGCAGCCATCTCTACACTCCACAGCAGCAGCAGCAGCAGCAGCAGGCGTGTTGACAGTGAGGAGGAAGATTTTGATGATGATGATGACGACCCAGAATTTGACGACAGGCATGTTGCAGTCAGCCACTCGCGGAAGTCACAGGCATCCGGTATTGGGCCTTCATCCAGACAGACATCAGCCTCCCCAGCTGCGCTATCGAGTCACTCCAGTACCAGCCGTGCTCAACGACCAGCCAGGCAACCCGTCAAAGCTAGACTCGGCTCTATTCCCATCTCGGAAGAATCTCCGTCATCGTCAAGAACCAATTCTCGGCAAAGGGAATCCAGAAAGCCGAGGTCGTCTGTGTTCAATCGCCTTGGAGAGACTGCTTGATGCTTCTGTCTGAGATTATTTGCCGGGCAGATCATTCTGCTGTCTGTACAAACTAAGTTTGCTTTGTTTTGTGGACGACTGCCACTAGCCGTGTATTGTGCCGTGCACATGTACCGGTCCTGTTTTTAGCCCGTGTAGTTGTGACTGCCGCGTATCCTTTTGATTATCTGTTTGTCCTTTTTTTAATTTTAGAGCTTCCATTCATTTGCTAAAGTGTCTTATTTACTTTATTTCCATGCGTCTTGAAGAGAAAAAGATACAAGTTCGTGTTCATGGAGAGATCCCTGTTCCGAAGGTTCAATTGCAGAGACTGTTGATGCCTGCTGTGTTCTCGTCTCGGGGAGAGCACCCCACACTTCAACAGCACACGGTTACGTCTCGAGGCAACGAACGCTGCTCATTGACAGGTATAGGACTGGCGAAACGTCTAGACTACAGAACTGCAATGACAGAGAATGGGAGAGTACAGAGCAACAGCAGTGTGGCATGCGGTGCACACACAGAACATGCATCTACTCGCAAGTAAGGCGGTGTTTACATGAGGCGTTTCAACCCGGGTTGAGTTCGACCCGGGTCAGCTTTCAACCCGCCATGTGCATAAAATGAATGGCGCGTTTACATGACGCATTGCGCTTGACCCGGGTTGAAATTTCGCCCCGGGTTGATTTCAACCCTCCCCCCAAGGGGAGGGTTGAAATCAACCCGGGTCAAGAAAATCGTACAAACGTACTTCTGTGCGTATCTCGCGCCAGGTTTGAACGGCACTGCAGATGCAAATTTCGCGCGAACGGATTCACGTGACCATACAGGACTGGAGAAGTGGACTTTTGGCGGCATATCAGTATTTGACCCGGGTCAACTGTCTTCATGTAAACGCTCACCTCTTTTGTCTATCGTACAGACTTTCAACCCGGGCTGAACTCGACCCGGGTTGAAATTTCTCATGTAAACACAGCCTAAGCTGAATCTCGGCATGGGTGTCCATAGTCAGGAGCATGCAACTGACTCCTGGATAACTGTTGTGAGTCTGGGTTGGAGCCACCCCTGGGTGTGGGCACCGCGGCCTTTGGGTTATCCGTACATTCTGAAAACAGAAGAACCTGCAAAAAAGAGTGGGAAACTGCCCAAACTACAAGTGACATGACAACATGCATCGTGACTACAAAAGATGTAGCAGCAGCCATACGCCATGTGACCCAGCCGCCAGCACAACCACAGCAACACCATACCACGTCCATCAAGAAACAGCAGAGAATCACACCCCGAGAGAACAGGCCTACACATCAACAAGCAACGCGCAATCATTACGACATTCGAACAGGCGGAGAGCTGTCAAATATTCTTTTCGGTAGCTACCGGGCACTGCCATGACAATGGGTCAGAGTAGTTTATTAGAGTCAGTTAGGCATCTCAAAACAAACCAAAGGAAAATACACAGTGCACAATCCCTACATGTAGTTGTGCATTGTTGCTGTTGACATAGTAGCGTTATGTAATTTAGACGCATCTCTCGTCGGATACAGGAGAGATGCTACACAGATAGATGGGAATTACATGTACAATCATGAATGCAATACACCATGTCATAAGGAATACAGCCGTCAACCATTCAGGCAGGCAACAGCGGCCAACAGGCGGTCATCAAAAAAGAAAAAAGAAAAATAGACGCATGCATCTTGACGGTGTGTACAAAAAACAGCCGGTGCATGAAGTTCAGCAGAGCTCTCCTGTAATAGGTGAATTAGTGCTGCGCGAACAGGAGAGGGGGGAATATTCATCTTATTACACAGTGCTCGAAGCGTGTGTGAACACTGTTATGAATTGCCAGCGCAACATGACACATATAAAGAGTACCATGGAATATGCTACAGGGATGACGAGAAATGCAACCAGGGAGGAATAACAGTGAGCATCATAAAGAGTCAGGCAAGATAGCAACAACACAAGCAGACAAGCACACAAAGGTGGGCACAGACACACCCACACAGACACACCCACACACACACACTTAAACAGCCACACACACGAGCACTTTGCGACTAACACAACACAACAGGGTTAAAAAGAGAGTGGTCGACCGCGACATAGTGCTACGAAAAAGAGAATATACAACAGAATCGCATACAGATGGGAACAGGGCAGAACAGCAGTGATACTACACGCACGCACACACACGCACACACACACACACGTATACACACACAGCAGCAGCTAATGGCTAGCGGAAACGGAGATTACATGCACACACTGGAGTTAGCAACAACCGCCACCTGATGACCCAGACTGAACTGGCTTACTGTCCACCTTGATCTTCTGATTCTGGCTGTTAGGCGATACTGATGATGGGCCCATCCGGTTCTTGATCTCGGCAGCCATGGTGACGAAGGCCTCCTCTACATTGGTGGCGTTTTTCGCACTCGTTTCCAGGAAAGGCGTACCGAGCTGATCTGCATACTCCTGCACACATGGAGTACAAATGCACAGTCACATACAAGTACAATGTATATCAGTCATAAACTGAGGTTTTGTGTGTTGTGATAAAAAAAACTGTGTTATTCATACTATCAACAGTACATAAGCTCACAAGCATGACTGTGCAACTCCGGATACCCTTTCTATGGGGTACGGCAACGGCACTACAACTTTCACATCACGGCTCAACTCGAGTGACAGCAACGCATTACAAAAATAGAGTAAAGTTAGCCGGATTCGCGGCCGCATCACCTGACATGTGATTAACACATCAAGCAAAGACGTTCGCATCGACGGGCCACCACTTCGCCCATATATCCTAGTGTCGAATGCAGACCTCACAAGTGAGCCAGGGGAGAGGGAATCAGTCTCTCAAACAAGCGGGCGTGTAAAAGCCCTATAAGTTAGAAACCGCATCCTTGTTACCCTCGCTCTGAGATGAGAAAGTGAGTACCCAGTTCACCGTGGGTGTCGGCACAGCTCATTGCATGTGAAGTGGTACTCGCCCAAATCACCGCGATTGAGAGAGCACAAAACATACTCCCTGTTACCAGCGCAGATTTTGAAGCCGGAACCTCATGATTCGCAGGCAAGCCTACAATAATTCACTAAATTGCAGCCTGCGGGCACGGTGACCAGGTGATTGGTGTACGCATCAGCACGCGACCGCTTACTCAACCAGGTTCGATTGGGAATAGGGACTGAACGCTGCATCGCAGCCTTCTTGGACCAAAACCAGTCGACGCAGCGTCCAAAAGACTACAACATATGGGCCAATCTCATTCATCCGTGCCTTTATAAGAACGAAATGGTGCTTTTAGTAATATTTTGCTTATAAATCCCCATCTACCTGTTAGTAGGGCGCAAGTCACCCAGTTTCTGTGGAAGTGGCGAGTTCGACGGTGAATAAAGGAGGAAGGGAGAGTCTCAGCTTCCTCGGGCCAAGACCATTCGACTCGGCACCCTGAAGACTAAGAGCACCGTAAAAATCCGTAAATAAGTACCTGCCCGAAACAAATACCTCATTCATTCCTTTGACTCTGTCTGTTGAAGTCAAGTCGAGCCCAATAAACATACTGACCGAAATAAGTACATGTACGGTGCGCACATGCAGCGCGTAGCATGTACATCTACATGAAAATGACTTTTCCATTACACACAATTCCGGTCCGAAAGTTAGTTCATGCCCGAAAGTCAGTACCTGCCCGAAAGTTAGGGTGTGTTATTATTCCCTGGCTTCTCGGAGAAAGCTCTCCTGGAAGTCGGAAGAAACTGGGATAATTTAGGAACGGGTCTCGAAGAATTCGGAGGTCTTTTGCTGCTTTTTGCATACCGGTATGTGAAGCGCCAAAGGGGCCGCGATCTTGAGTGATACGAATGTAGTACGCATTGTGCGTATGCGAAACGGGAATGCCGTACACTCATGATCAACACGTTGCTTTTAGCAGTAGTTTGCATGCACTGACCCTCAAACCAATGAAAACGCGAGAATCTCCAAGTTTCAACCACCTCTGAAATTCGGAGAGCTTTGGAGAGTCTCCTAAACTTCAGAGAGGAACACTTCTCGAACTTTTCCGAGAGGTTAAGGACGCACCCTAAGTACAGGCGCGGCCACTAAATTCGAAAGTAAGTACATACTTATTTACAGACTGTTACGGTAGTGAAATTTTGATTCTGCACCATACTTCCCCTTCAATGGGAAATTCCACAGGGAAAGTTAACAGTATGCTTGCACGGGTGATGACCCGCATCCTATGGCGCATGTGTAAAAATAACCATTTTATTGCAGTATAATAAACTCAACAAGTTAGGGTGCCAGTTTCAAATGAATGGACTGAAATTACACAACGTGCCGAATACAAATACGCTAACATTAGCCGGACAGAGAGCACTGCACAGTGCATGGCCTGAGTGTGCACGTGAAGCATAGAGAAGTTGAAGACGGACACCAGGCAGAAGCAAACCCTAGCAAAGACACATCACGCAGTGAGCACTTACATTTCCCACATTACCAGGCCAAAATCAGCTCAGACTTCCTCAATCTACCCCACTCTACTACTGCCCCAAGACGTCTCACGATGGCATGACTGGATTACTGATTCCCACTCGATTTAAAAAGTAAATAATAAGCTCGCTCAGTCAAATCAGCACAGCATTCCTATAGCTTGGCTCGAGAGCAAATAGACCACGCCATGGGATGAGGCCATGCCATAAAGTACACACTACTCAAGCACGTTGCCAAAAAGCAGCAAAGCAGCCCACTACCGCCCGGGACACACTAAAACCGGATAGGCGAGAGTGCACTGCTAGCAATGAGCTAACAACGAACAATGACCACCCACCACCTGAATCAGCTTCTTTTGGGTGTAGTGCCAGGAACACACTTCAACTGTTCTACTCTTCATTTCAAAACGCCATACAACACACCAGCTGCATAGGGAGTTAAGCGCGTGACAACAGCCAGGCTATGCAAGTGACAACAGCATGCCATGACTGTGTCCGGCGCACAACTCCCAACCAAACGCACATACTGTAAAAACCATTATTCTAACGAGCCGTAAACATAACGATTTCCTAAAATTGACCAGTTTACGTGTATCAAAGGTAAGGATTCTCACTCATTCTCAACGCTCACTACCAACAGTATAAGTATCGATTTCTGGATAACGGCACTTCTATTTTAACGACAGATTTCTCCTCGTTAACTCGTTAGATTTAGCACTTTTTGTTCGCATTGAGGTACAATAGCAGCGCGGTGCTTCTGCCATTCTGACTCGCTACCGGTGCCAGTGCAAGGCAAGTGAATTAAAACAGAGACTTTAGTACATGAGCCGATAAGCTTACCTTAGCTGTCGTGAAATCAACCACTTTCTTCGTCGTCAAGTCACTCTTGTTGCCGACAAGTAGTTTGTTGACATTTTCACTTGCGTATCTGTCAATTTCCTGCAGCCACTGCTTGACATTAGTAAAGGATTCCTGGAGGAAGTAAGTGAAAGGAGCAGAACCAAAAACAAGTATGAGTGAAATCCCGGTAACTAAAGTTCGAGCGTATTCTACCACACCGTCTAAAAGTATATAATTAACAGAGTGAAACTAACTGGGTAGTGATCCATTCCTCCTCGGTCGAATCTGTTATGATGTCAGTCTTTCAAATATTCATCAGTTTGAGGGGCATGAGTTTATCGTAGATATTTCACCCCAATGATGCTACCAAGAGTGTGCAACTCCAGCTATGGGGTCTGCGGCGGCAGAACTTCACATCGCATGACAAACCCGTACAAATCATTTGCACCCTGTGCATGACAGATACAGGTTTGTATGCAACCCTGCTGTGGGTTCAACTCTCTTGTGGTCACTTTGGACTGTTTGCCAGAGTAACCTTTGGAACCATGTCACGCGAGGTGAAGTTCTGCCGTCGAAGCACTGTATAGAGGTTGTGCAGGTAGTTGCACCCTCTTGGGGGATATGTACTCTTGATGCTACCCTGTGCATGCAGTGTTCAAAGCAATAATAGAGATGTTCTGCTCTACGTTACGGGAACGCGACGCGAAGAATCCCGGGAACTCTCTTCGCATTTCCGTAACGTAAAGAAAACCTGTTTTGCTCTATGTTCACGTAGAGAAATCATGTGGAATGTGTACTGGGAATTTCCCCTTCCATATTCGGCTGTTCTCTGCCTGCATTTGATCGATGCCCAGCAGATCCGTACGAATTTTCTCTGCGTATGCCACAGCGTAGAGAACCTCATCTACGCATAGAAATCTGGACCAAAAACACGCGAAGCCGTAGACTCTAACCCAGACACCTGCTCTCTACGTGATTTCTCTACGTTTCACGTAGAGCAGAACCTCGGTAATAATAAGACGTGTACTTGTTGAAGTCTCTTTGCTCGCGACACTCAAGCTCGCGCTTTTCCCACCGACTTCTAATGATTGAGTGTCGCCAAAGTCGCTGACACTAATTCAGATTGTACTTGCGAAGCAATGGACGGCAGACCCACAGGTACTGAGCCCGATAAGCCGCATAGTACGTGTACACATCTACCCCGAAGCGTGGAAAGATCAACACGTTTGATCATAGTCTTGCTATGATTGCTTCACTGCAACAGGAACATTCCGAGGCAGGTCAGCCCATCGCATCTCAAGATAGAAATCACACACTCAAGGGACATAATGATTAAGTTCTCTAGGAATTTGTGGTCGCCACACAAGTTGATAGAGCGGTTGCGCACAGCGAAAATTCATAAGATCTGGCCGTCACAGCATGGAGTAAAGACAGACGTATGGACTTTCGTCAACTTTCCAAGGAAAAAGAAGCCAACAAAGAAAATAAATATCGTTGAAAATACGGTCCTGACACACAGTAATGTACGACACCTGCAAACTGTCGTACACTGAGCGCGTGCATGGCTGGCTGTCGAGACCTATTTCCCGTATTCCGAAAACTTAGAGTTCCTACTTTTGCGTAAGCTCCGAATCAACCGATTTTCGGAGCCTTTTCGTTGTTGCCAGATACGTGTAATTCTATGCACAGCCTCTCTCATGTAGTCTGTTGCACACTGGTCACGTGCATATGTGACTGACGAGACCCATTTCCTTTACTCAGAACAGCTTGACGTCCACACTGCCACGCAAGTTTCTAAAGGACGGTAAACTTTTTAGTCATTGCCTTTCTCCATCGGAATCTATGAAGCTTCATTACACGCAACCTCTCTATTACTTGCACAATGACCCATTTACATAATCCGAGGGAAATGTCCGTGCTTCTTTCTGTGAAGACAGGAAAGAAGTCGGATGCTATAAGAGATAGCTGCAACAGCCGGTGTGGGTACAACTCGGTCCTCGATGTGGTGAGTCCATGACCGTGTCCATAACTAGTCCAAATGCACTATAGTGCATTCGCCAATTCCGGGCCCCATAGGTTTTTCACAGTCTCACTTCATTCTTATTCAAGATGGCGAAGTCGATGACTTATATTATAGGTCAGACATATGATAGCCGTTGTTTTAAGCCTAAGATGAAGTGAATGCGGTGAAAATTGATCAAGTGCAACACATGGTTCCGCTGCTGTTCCTCTGCTAGAGATCGCCCGCACGTTATACCGGGTGCCTCTCCAAGCTGCTCGATCCTGGGCCATCATGGAGAGTTTGTCAAGATGGTACACATACATGCAATTTTAGTGTATCAGAGGCCCGGAATTGGTGAATGCACTATAGTTTGTCATTTAAAAATCCCCCTGCTACAGGTGCCTGTATTATTATTATTACAGGTGCCACCTCAGTCTCATATTCTTGAAGTGCCTGTACTCTTGGTTAGGCACAGTGCATGAGATGAGCACTAGATGCTGCAGAACACTGATGGCACAAACTCAGGGCTGGACATTCGCACACGACATGTCACACTTGAACAGAGTAAGAACCGTTTGTTTTCCTTACCTGGTCGGTCACGTCATAGACGACAATAATGCCATGAGCACCCCGGTAGTAACTTGATGTGATGGTACGGAATCTCTCCTGACCTGCAGTGTCCCACTGAACATAACATGGAAGGAGAGTCGACGAGCATGAGAAATATAGCAAACACCATTGCACAAAGAAGTGTGACTCTACACACACACACACACACACACACACACACACACACACACACCTCAGACATGCCCATCGCGGAAGCGATGATAGCGAACAACTATGTTAGACATAGCAACTTGTGCTGGGATTACACCATTCAACAGCTTGCAAGGCTGATGAATTGATCGCCACTATTTTTAGCCTGGTATCCACCACACAGCTGGGATTACACCATTCAACACACACACATACACACACACACACTTGTTGCTCACTGCCAAAACTGGTCACGTGGATCTCTCCGGGAGAGGGGAGAGAGGCTCAAAAGGAATCTTGGAAAGATGACTCAATCGGCTATTGAACCACCCAACGGCCGACACCCCCTGAAATCCCCAAAACTCTGGGTGGACTTGAAAATGATCCCACATTATGGGCTCACCACACCTCAGTAAGTACTAAGTCAAGTGGGTGAGGACAAGGTGCAGAAAAAAGATCGACGGCAAGAGGGTATCCGTCCCGGGATCCAACTGCAGTTACCCCTGCCCCCAGTGAAGGTAATACTTGCTACTAGTGTGGGTGGCTAGCTAGCTGGCACACACACACACACACACACACACACACACACGTGTGTGTGGCTGTGTGTACGTGTGTGTGTACGTGTGTGTGCGTGTGTCCATGTGCATGGTGTGATGTTACCGTACAATGTAAATTCAATGGAACGATACACCTCCACCCAGTTACAACAGCTTTACAGTGACAAAGGAACGCAATACATTACCATTGAATACAATAACATGAACAATGAAGTTTTTCACCACAATGATTCGAAATCACTGCATGATTGCAATATGACATTTTAAAAGCACACAAAGGTGTGATGCCTGTTAGGTCAGAGTATTATTATCATTAGTTGCCTTCACCTACAATCAGCGTGAATAAAATCTACTGTCCAACAATAATGCACCATCATAAAACCTAAGACGAAGGTGATTCGTACGGAAGTTATCGTTCATTGAAATGGTGTAGATCACCGTGTTGTAAATGTGAGAAATGACACCATCTCACCATGGTGAAAACTTACAATTTGCAATTTGATCGTCTTTCCGTCCAGCTCTATTGTTCGAATTTTCTAAAACAGGGTAGATGCAGAAAATTCACACTTGTTATGTTTCCCCTTCCACCCACTCGGCCGCACACACTCCAGTCTTTACTCACAAAGTCCACACCAATCGTACTGATGTAGCTTTCCGTATACGTGTCATCCTGCCAGCACAAACACATCACAAAATACATACAAGGTCATGTTCTGGTCTCGTAGGCATAGGTTATGGCATATCTCACAGCCAAGAGCACAACAGCATCTCCACTGATCCACTTACAGCGAAACGAAGAAGTAGGCATGATTTGCCAACTCCAGAATCACCAATCAGCAGCAGCTTGAACAGGTAGTCGCTGCGAGAAAGTGGCAACGATGAAAGTCATCTACGACTGTCGGATACTCAACACCATTCCAAGGATACTTACTATTCGGGGTTCATCTCCAACTGCAATGTCGAGCAAACAATAAATCTCTGTGTTCGGGGTTAGTTCTTCGGCAGTGTGCTTGCTCTAAACACTCTGAACTCCAGAAAAAGTTACTGCTTGTGCATTTGATTTTTTCACCTTCTCTCAGCTTTGCAGTTGCGTCTATCCATGCAGTGAGCTGTGCAAGGCCCTCAACTACGTACCAACACTGGCAACAGGCAACACTCCATCCACGGATCCAGGCCCTGGCACTGTGAGTGTGAGTAGAGTGACTCAGCTGTGCCTGTCCTGGGTGGAGTATCTTTTCGACGTGTTTCATCATGCTCTGTACCAGGGAGTACGAATTTACTACTCTTTATCTGTGCTTCCCTATAGCTATGCAGCGCGAAGTGGTCGACATCGACCAGTTCGATAGCTAGCTAGCTAGCCGCTGCGGCAGTGTTTTCTGCGCGCCGCCGCGCGCTTCGTCGTCAGGTCGTCGGTCGACGGCGCTGACATCGACATGATGTCAGGACAAAATCATGCACTCGCTTGTACATGTACTTGTGTCAGCATCTCTTCGCTTTTGCAACGTGGCGGAGTCGCTTTTGAATGAATGAGTCAGTCTTTGTCGTAACTACTAGTACCAGTAGTACTACTACCAAGACTTGGCAAGAGTACTCTTGCTAGTCTTTGTAAATTGTAGTAATCTGATGTCGCATGCATGTACAGTGGTTCATTAAACTACAGTCTACATGTTCATAGCAAGTAACCCCCCAATATACTCTTTACTTGTTGATAGCCTAATCATCTCGTGATTCATAATTTTGCACAAACCTTGCGCGTTGAAAAATGAATGTACTTGTACACGAGCCGGAAATGCACCATGGACAGACTCAGTACATATGCGCATACCAATTGTCTGCACTGCAATACCAGGCACAGCCGCATTGCTAGGCAACCAGCATGACAAGATGTGTAACATCGTCACGGGTGCAACTGGTAATTGTTATTATTTTACTTTGCCGTAAAGTACCGTTGACCCCATGCCTTCCCAGCTCGTTTTTTTTGCAGGGGGCAGGAATTAGATCAAGTCGTTCAAGTGCAGTACGATGTACAACAAAGCAGAAGATCAGACCTGGAATGCTGTGCACATTTTCATCCTGCACTCGCACGCACGTATTGTGTACAGCAGTACATGCGTCGGTTCAACATCGTATTTCGTTGTATACGTCGACGGCGCTTCACAGGCAGAAATTCGACAGGGGGCGGGAATTAGAGAGGGGGCGGATCAACGGTACTTTACGGTACATGTACCAGTACTACTGCGGCATGGACAGATCAGAATGCGATTTAATACAAACCATGATGCAGCTGTCCGGTGTCAGGTGGCATGTCCAATCGCAGACATGGACAGAGCACATATCAGAACAACTGACTAGCAACTGAACTCTCAACAAACTAGTATGGCCATAGTATGGGAGATTGATTGCAAGGCACTGGTTCTCAAGCAATCGCATAATTGAGAAAGACTAAAGAAGACAACAACAGCGGACGAAAAGGTGGCCAACAAAAATGCAAGCAGGAACTTGCCAAATAGAACGAAGGCGGCCGACCCGGAGACTCGGTGTACGAGTCCAGCCGAAAGCGGATGAATGTGTTTGCAATAAGGTAGAGTCTGAAAACGAAGACACTTCGCTCAGCACAACCCACTGACTGAGATGACTGGCTACTTTGCCCAACCAGCTGGCATCGTAAAACCCCACAACATAAATGATTGCAGTAGGATGGTAGCAAGCAGCAGGGAGAAGGACTGTTGGCGTGATAGCAACTTGTCCGCACCCACAGAGGCACACACACCGGCAGGGTTGGTAACCAAGTCTAACAACCCATAGGTAAAACCCGACCGCCAGAGTGTTGCCACCTGTGTCCGCAAGTAAAGTACCAGCCTACACCACAGCCTAATCCACATGGCCTGTAGCAATCTCTTACATGTTCATGAAAAATAGGATAAAAACGGAATGGGCCTAAATGAGTAAGCAGCATTTGCACTGCATCACGTCAAAGCCATTCCGCCACCAGATATTTCCAGTTGCTGTGAGCAGAGGCACACGCACATACGCACACACATACACATACAGTCAACTTCGCTAATAACGACTGGATATAACGACAATTCGCGAATAACGACAGAATTTCCATGCCCAGAGCAAAGTCCCATCCAACTGTAATACATATAATGGGACTTCGGGTATAACGACACTTCGCGAATAAGGATACTTTTCTGATGCCCCGCCGAGTGTCGTTATACGCGAAGTTGCCTGTACACAATAAAAAGAAGCAGTGACGTAGCCATTCCGTGCTAAAGTACAGGACAATTCCTCAAAGGATCAGGAAGCCAGAAATGCTATGTGCGTGTGCCTAAAGAGAAACTGCCACTAAAACAGTTCAAAGGCTGTTTTTGTAGCTTGAGGTGATGACAATGATGAACTTTGCTTTCTTCAGTTGCCAATGTGATCAGCTATCTCAATACTACAAAGTAAGCCAATGAAATTTGTGTGGACAGCTCCTCTTTGGTGATAAACATCCACATAAAACGTGCAAAAACCTACAAAAATAAGACTATAATTATTATAGTGATCCGTGATCCAACAAATATTCCAATTCTACGTGATTCTCTTATCATACGCTGACAGTGCCAACAACTCCTAGTACATGCAGAGCTAATTTTGATGCTGCTGGGTGTGTACGGGGTGGCCATCACGCCGACCTCCGGTGTCTTCTAGTGACAATGTTGCATGTCCGATGTACATACAAGAGAGTACATGTGTTACACAAATGGCCCCTGGTGATACGAAGACAAATCCGCTCCGCTCGACAATCATATCTCCTTACCTCTCTGACAGAGATAAACTGAAGCCAGTCTGATGGTGACGTGGGTAAGAGACCCATGCTATGGCACTTGAGCAAAGCTATTAGTACCATGAGAATATTGGATGAGATAAACACAAGCTTCTGAACAGCTGAATGATCACCGCGGAACTGATCCAGCACTGAAGCAAACAGAAACAAAGCATAGGGGACAAACACACACACGGAGAGAGAGAGAGAGAGAGAGAGAGAGAGAGAGAGAGAGAGAGTGAGTGAGAGAGAGAGAGTGAGAGAGAGAGAGAGAGAGAGAGAGAGAGAGAGAGAGAGAGAGAGAGAGAGAGAGAGAGAGGGAGAGAGAGAGAGAGAGAGAGAGAGAGAGAGGAGAGAGAGACAGAGAGAGAAGACAGAGAGAGACAGAGAGAGAGAGAGAGAGAGAGAGAGAGAGAGAGAGAGAGAGAGAGAGAGAGAGAGAGAGAGAGAGAGAGAGAGAGAGAGAGAGAGAGAGAGAGAGAGAGAGAGAGAGAGAGAGAGAGAGAGAGAGAGAGAGAGAGAGAGAGAGAGAGAGAGAGAGAGAGAGAGAGAGAGAGAGAGAGAGAGAGAGAGAGAGAGAGAGACAGACACACAGACACCGAAAGAGAGACAGAGAAAATAACACCACGCAAATGTGAGGGAGAGAGAGACACACACAGAGAGAGAGACAGAGAGAGACAGAGAGAGAGAGAGAGAGAGAGAGAGAGAGAGAGAGAGAGAGAGAGAGAGAGAGAGAGAGAGAGAGAGAGAGAGAGAGAGAGAGAGAGAGAGAGAGAGAGAGACACACACACACACACACACACACAGAGAGAGAGAGAGAGAGAGAGTGAGAGAGAGAGAGAGAGAGAGAGAGAGAGAGAGAGAGAGAGAGAGAGAGAGAGAGAGAGAGAGAGAGAGAGAGAGAGAGAGAGACAGACACACAGACACCGAAAGAGAGACAGAGAAAATAACACCACGCAAATGTGCAAGGTATCACCATTGCCAGTTTGCCGACTGAACATCCTCCTTACTTCCTATTTCCGAAGGGCCAGGTTTCACTGCGACTCCGCTGCACGTCATCCGCGGCATGAAACGTCATCATTACCATAGTGACCGCCGCTCGAGTTGGTGCAGCAGCTCACCACCAGCTTTCGCTACGCTGTTTGATCAAAAACTGCAAGCCGCGGTCGCGGCACGACCTGTTTCCCATGCTTTGCATCGTTGTATACACGAGAATTTTAAAATTCAAATTTTAATTCGTAGCGCAGGCCAGAACACGAGGATTGTTGATGCGCGAGTGCAGGCAGGTAAAACGTCATAAAAAAACGTTGAGCACGACTGTGGTACCGCGAATGGCGAGCGTCAGTGGAACCGAGCTGCTCCGCTGCATGCAGCCAAATGCCGCAGAGCAGCAGTGGAACCTGGCCCTAAGACCTCAAAACTACACGCTACTTCTCAAGATAGACCAGGCACCCACCCTGCAGCATATGCCGTGCACATTTGTGTCTCCACACAACTCCTGTACTCAAACTTAGGGATTCGACAGCTTCAAGCACAATTGAAGCCAACAACGCAGAAGTAACAATGACAGACACGTATCTACATCACTTGCATGCTTGCTATGAGTAAACCACCTCATTTAATTAAATGCTAGCTGGGATCTCTAATGTTGCAGTCTTGCAATGAACACAGTTAAAACTCACGCGCTGACATCGAGAAGAAAGTCTGGAGAGGCCGCCACAGCATCATGCCAACAACCATGATGGGAAAGATAGAGATAGTGTTGCCGGCCATGTACATCACCAGCAGATTCATGGGCAGTTGCTTGAGCGGTCCAATCGCAACGCCCCACGATTGCTGCCAACAGACCAACAGTCATAGGGCAGGTCATTGCTTGTTCGTTGTATGCAGTACAAGGGAAAACTACCAGTAGAGCGGAAACAAAGTGGATTCATTTTCACCCTGCTCAATGACGCCCGCTATGTGTACTCGTTGAAATACAGTCCAACTTCAGTACCTCCAAGGGCCGAAACATCTGTACACCATAGCCGAGGTGCTGCATGTCCAAAGTAAAACAACTGGCACATTGTATAGCATAATGCAGGGTCGCCAAAATAGTAGTATATACTACATAGTCCATAGTGTGCTCTATACAGGGTACTCTATACTGAAGGTTCACTGCACTGAGAGTCCAGTGCTATGCCATGTTTGACAGCGACTGCCAAACAGCGCAATAAGAACCAGTCCACAGTCGGCGGCATGCGTAACGGCGACTGGAGTGTGCCAAGTCTACTATCAAACTCTGTTCATCGGGACTGCAAGAGTCCCGTCACAGCGTTAGCGAAAACCCGGCAAGTTTGCTATAGCGCCCACGGAAACTAGCTATCAAGGCACGGTGTAAGCCCGACAACTGTGAGAAGAGGAGCGCAGTTACAAGAAAGTAATGCTATTACTGTCATTTCTTTCTTGCTTGACGTTAAAAATAAACCGAGCCAAGCGTGCCAACAAAATTGAGACAATCAATGCGGCTCATAGTTTGTACGTGCAGGAGTAAACAAGGCCAGAACAAAACAGGGTCGTATGTCAGACGTCTGCGTCATACATTCAATGGCCATGCACAGCATCTCCACTGCAGTCATCCCAATCTCCAGAAGGTCTCTAGCAAATCCCCCTCCCTCATACCTTGGCAATGAGTGCTACATCCATGTCGCTAGATTCCTGTACAGGAGGCGCAAAACCAGCAACAAAGTGGCAGCATAACGACTGTTATCCAACATGCTAAAATTTAAATTAATTTTCAAGGTTTTTTTACAAATTCGAACTCAGATGGCGAGCCAATGCAATCATGGATAAGAAGAAGGACAAAAAGTTACGAAATGTGATGAACCGTCAACAAAAGTAACCGGCATCAGATCAGCACTTCCCTCCAAGTGTTGTGCCTTGCCACACTTGATGACTGTATATCGCAGGAGGTAAAATCCCGTGACACCTATGCTGCATTTTGTTCCATTCTGCACGCGCCTACCTAAGTTGGATTGATGACGGTAGTTAGTAGTCCTTTAGTTTTGGTTTCATTGTTCTTTTTCCTCCTTCTTTTTCTCAGTTTTCCCCACCATGGCTGGTTAAAATCGCCCGCATCACATGTTTATTGGCACTATCAAGAGTACATAACCCCCCCCCCAGAGTGTGCAACTCCCACATACCCTGCTGTCCCGACAGAATTTCAAGTTGACGTCATTATTTATGACGCAATGCTCCTTGCACCAGTGATTTACAATATGTGTACGGGTGTCAACGCATCACACGTTTTTCTTTCCAATAATAATTGTACAGGACCGATCGGCTTCGGTCAACCACAGGTTCCAGATTCGTCTGATAATCCGTGTACAGTGTGCATTGCATCATCAAAATGACGTCAACTTGAAATTCTGTCGGGACAGCACCCATAGTGGAGTTGCACACTCTGGGGGGGGGGGGGGGGGGGGGGGGTTATGTACTCTTGGCACTATGTCATCGTGATTGTAGAATAATAATTAATAATAATAATAATATGTAGAAGAGAAAAGGACATATGGATACGAGTTAAGAGTAACTCTCCATCACTGTAACATGATACTTTATACAGTCAGAAAGTGCAATAACTAGGCACAAAACTGACAGAGTACTGAAACATTCGACGTCCGTCGAATGTTTCAGTACTCTGTCAGTTTTGTGCCTAGTTATTGCACTTTCTGACTGTATAAAGTATCATGTTACAGTGATGGAGAGTTACTCTTAACTCGTATCCATATGTCCTTTTCTCTTCTACATTTATTTATGGCTCAACATCCGAGTTTAATAATAATATGATCTGGGTTTCTTTTATACAGATAATTATGTTCCATTATCTGTCTGCACTGTCATTGGTGCAATAGGGCTAGAAAGTGATGACGTCAAAACGGCCAGGGAGTAGTAAGTTGACATCAGATTTCTATTTTTGGATCCACTAAGGTGTGACTTTGCCATTGCCTAAGTATGTGGGTGCATAGCAACCCACTCATGTCGCATGCAGGTGTGACTTTTATTTCGCCACCTGTTGTAACCCCGCCCCCAGTAGCCAAATCAGTCAGTTTCACTGGTTACATCACCTTGCTGAGAGTAAGACCGCTTGAAATGTGCTTGGATCCATACAAAAACTGGATCCAAGTGGATCCAATTTTTGAATTTTTGAAATTGTTGCTATGCTGTGACGTAGCACTTTCAAGCCCTATTATCTTTCAAGGGATGATTTTACGAGCGACAAGCAAGAGGAAATGCACGGCCAGTCTAATGAACCTCATTTCCAACTGTCACTACTAGAACTATCCTTGAAGCGTTGCCAGACGGCTCAAAACCAACTGCTCGAGTTCCGTATGCGAGCTCCACTGACGTGGGAATTGTTTACTCCTCGAGTTTTGGGCGATTGAACATGGAGACGTCAGGGGTTGAACAACATGAACTGAATCCTCACTGTCTTGAGATCAGAATCAGTCTGCAACTACTCAGAACTTGAAACTACCAGTCTTTGACTCTTTGTTGATTGTGTGGGGTTGAACTTAGACCAAGCCAGAAATGCTGGTTGGCCCCAGGGCAGTGCTGAGCTTACCGTGAAGACTGCCATACTTTCTATCTCGTCGCCGACGCTCGTAGTGACTTCAGAGGCCGGTCACTGAGCGCATGGATTCGATAGATGAACAAATATCATCCTGAAAAATACTGGCGCTTACGCACAGTCTCGAAAGCCACAAGAGAATGTTGGCTCCAAAATAATCTCCGCTGCAACTATGCCTTAGCCTTGCTAAGTGCATGAAACGCAGCGTTAACGCTAATATGTATCAGGTTGTCACCGTCCTCTTTTTCCTTTGTAATCCCTGCTGCCTTATAAGCTTAGGCTGCTCTGTTCTGAAGTTATTTTTAACAGCCGCACATTATCGGCCTCGAGTTCTTGGTACCTGGGCTGGGGCCTACAGTCCATTTCAAAACTATAGACGCGTACCTAGGCAAAAACCGTTATGCCAGCATCTATACCACATAAAATCTGTGATCACTTTGTGCATAAATTTTTCCAAATTGGGCGTCTGTTATCCAATCCTTTAGAAACTATATTATGAGAGTAATTGTGGAGCGATCCTGAGCAATATTCCGAAAACTATTCTCAAAAAGTTCCAGCCAAATTTGAAATATTTCAAAAACCCTGCGCGTCTATAGTTTTGAAATGCACTGTAGTGCATTTGAACTGCGGTAGTGATCGTTGATCACAAGAAATTTTGGGCTGTTGGGGAAAGTTCAGGAATGTGCCTAGATTGGTCGCAGTCATTTACATGTACAGTACTTACAACCTGAGGACAAGTCTCTATGAAGCCAACAGGATCAGGCATGGTTGCTGTTGATACAGATCGGCCAGCACGGTCCCGCCTGCCAGAGCAGCAAAATCAATCGACACCACAAAATACTGTACAGCCCATACAGGTCTAAAATCAGAGAACTGCTCTATTCATCATTTCGTACGTGAAATCCACCGACCACTTCTGCTTTCTTCTGGACATTCTGCTAAGTGCTCCTTTTCGTCGATACAACTTCCAAGTTTCGGCTCTCTCAAAGCCACAAAATAAATCACCGCGACTGGTAAGACCTGTTATTGAAGTACACTCGTACAAGGAATGATAACCAATCAGATTCAAAGGCAAGGGATATCTCTGAGATACTAGTAATTGAAAGGCGATAATTATATCGATAGTTTAGTGTGCAAAAAAATCATTCGGTCGCGGTACGCGGTACGTACACGCATACGTACGCGCACGTAGACTACGTCAACGTTTTTTTAAAGCTTATATTAAGTTATAACAGCCTCTTTTACGGGCAAGATTAAAAATTAAAAGCAACACAATGATGAGAAAACAAGAGGGGTAAACACAATAACTTTATCAAAGCTGTTGACTCGCGCATACACACATACACACACACACACAGAGGATAACAATGATACTCAGTACCTAGACTGCAGGAGTTGCAAAGAAAGTTAAATCAATGCAGCCTCCGCGTTTGCGAGGACAGCAGACTGATCATTGACGCGGGGCAGACTACGTCAACGTCAAGTCTACGTGTACGTGTGTACAGCGATCCCCAATGCAATCGAACGTCATGCATGCACGAGCCACGAGGACCCTGTTCGGCTCAAACGAGTTCCGGGTATGGCAACGGCTTGTACTTTTTCGCGTGCCAGCTGCCTTCAAAATTCGAATATAGGCCCAGGGCTAAAAAACGAAACATTATTACTGATTTTTTCCCCCGGAAATGCATTATTTCGTATATTGGCCCATGGGCTTATATGCGCGGAACTACGGTACCCAACTCGCAACACACTAACAGTCCTTGGCTACACCACGTGCAGTTCTTTAAAAAAAAATTATGTTATAGTAAGGTTTATGTCACTGCTGTATGAGTGCACTTGTTATCATGCGGCCCTCAACTGACTTCTCAAGAAATGGTTTGTTATAAACCAAAATAGTGCGCTACAAAGGGTCAATTTTGTATCCCGGGGTTCAAACAGGGACATGAACAATGGTTCACTATAATAAACAGGAAGTCGCAAAATACGACTCCCTGGTTATAAGTGGAGTCAACTGTCACATGATTTGCGGCTAAGCCTGGAAGCTCTTACATCATGAGTTTCGTGCAGGATCACAGTATCGATTTCAAGTACTAGTTACATGTACATACTTGTACATGTAACTAGTACTTGCTACTATACATGCAGTTAAAATTTCAGAATGAACAAATCAAAAAGTGCCAACGGCCACCAGGCTGCTTTGGAGTGCTGGGACCACAGTGACAAGGCAGAAATGATGATACACTTGCGGGCCGCTGAGAATTCCCAAGGCTGGCTTGAAAATTAGAAATAGTAATATTGTGATGCTAGTAGTACATGACCCGGCGGAACCGAGGCTATCGCATACCACGGATTGTTCCCTAGAGGTCAGGGTGGGATGTTTGACTTTGATCAATCTGACCGCGTTCTTCAACTACTGTTACTTCAACTTCTTATGCCCCGGGTCACCAGTGGTATGTTCTTAGAAGCTGCATTTGTACTGGATTGAATGCACACGCCACATGTATACATGTATCAGTGTACCTACCTAGTTATGTAGCACTAAAGCTGCCAGAAACGTATTTCGGGCTGGGCGTTCTTGGGCAGCGCCGACTCCACTGTGTTCTCTGTGAAACTCCTAGAAATCGAAAGAAGACGGCAAAATGAATTTCAATTCTTTTCAAGCATTATTTAGCCCTCAACGGGGGCGGGGAGTAGCCCTTTCCCAAAGGTGCTCTTTTTCGCGTCCCTCAAAATATGCTGAAAAAGTGCTCTTCTTTCAGTGAAGGATAGCCATGATACATGTTCAGATATGAACCCAAGCTGAGAAGTGAATACACACTCTTCCATTTATGGGTCCACGAAAGGCAAAACAGGAAGTAAAGTTCAAAAACCCCACTTTTTACAGCATTCTGTACACCGGGTACAAGCTTCACCAACTTGTTGCCCCTCCCCCCCCCCCGAAAATGCGGCGTGCCAAGGCCCATCCAGATCGAGCACTCGGAAACTGTAACCGCATGCATGAGCAAACAGATTTTAGCACTTTTCAGCTAAAAAAGATCAAAAAGGGCGATATTCACCAAAAAACACAATAAAGGGCGAAAGAAACGGGCTTTTCCAAAAAGGGCCAAAAAGGGCGAGCACCTTTGGGAAAGGGCTAGCAAAAAAACCCACTTTTTACAGCATTCTGTACAAGCTTAACCAACTTGTTGCCCCCCTCGCCCCCCCCCCCCCCAAAAATGCGGCGTGCCAAGGCCCATCCAGATCGAGCACTTGGAAACTGTAACCGCATGCATGAGCAAACAGATTTTAGCACTTTTCAGCTAAAAAAGCTCAAAAAGGGCGATATTCACCAAAAAACACAATAAAGGGCGAAAGAAACGGGCTTTTCCAAAAAGGGCCAAAAAGGGCGAGCACCTTTGGGAAAGGGCTAGCGGCCGCGGGGAGACAGGATAATAATAATTTGAAACTCGGGTATTGATCAGAAAGTGCAACAACTAGGCACAAAACTGACAGAGTACTGAGACATTCGACGTCCTGACACCTAGCTTCAACACATCTCCGTAGCGCTAACCGACAGCCTTCCAACTTGGAAGGTTCAAGGTTATGGAAAGACCAAAGAGGGGAAGGCAAGCGCAACGAAAACGAGCACAAGCTACAGTCACAACGGAACAAAGAATGTCGATTGTCACTGGACGATGACGAGACCAGTAGGCGATTTGACAAAGCGGTCTAACTACAATTCGAAGCAGCAAAGCAGCACACCACCCAACTTGGGTGGGTCAAAAATATCAAAGATAAGTTAAGGCTGTCGGTTAGCGCTACGGAGATGTGTTGAAGCTAGGTGTCAGGACGTCGAATGTCTCAGTACTCTGTCAGTTTTGTGCCTAGTTGTCGCACTTTCTGACTGTATATAGTATCTAGTTACAGTGGTGGAGAGTTACTCTTAACTCGTTTCCATATGTCCTTTTCCTTTCTAATAATAATAATAATAATAATAATAGAACAGTTCGCGTACCAGGCAGCAACTGCTAACCTTTCCGCTTCTGTCTCTTTTGAGCTCTGCTACATGTGATGGTTGTGAAAAAAAGGAAAAGAAAAACCCCGGAGAGAAATGAAAGTGCACAACCGGATAGAGGTGTGTATGGAGATGGGTGTATGTAAGTACGCGCATGTATGTGCTAGTGTGCGTGCGGGGAAGTGTGCGTGCGCGTGTGGGAAACGGAGTGCAAGCACCAATAGTGACCAGGTTACTGAGCGGCCAAAATGCAGCGGTTACTGCTTGAACGTTAAGAACGGAGTCACTGAGCGGACAGGATATAAAAATTAATAATACCAAGAGTCCGTGTTTATGGACTCTTGATAATACTGGCGATACAGTTGAGGCGAGCGCCCTACACTACTGGCTACAGTAGAGTTGCGCGCTGAAGAACGTGGAGCCCAAGAACGTCCAGCCAGAAATTCTAAGAACACCACGGCCTAAAGCTTAGAACGGCGGTGTTGGTTTTCTGGCAGCTTGTGGGATACATAATTATGATCAAGAGTGCATAAGGGGCCATCCGTAAATACCGATATTTATTTAGAAACGAAAACTAGTCGTTTCTTTTCAACCCCCCTCCCTCAGAAACGAACACATACAAACGATGCATAGCATCGATATTTTTTCTTTTCTGGACGTGCCCACACATACAAACTGTGCATCGATTTTTCGAGAAACGAACAGGCGCTAAACCCCCTCCCCCCTAAACGACTAGTTTTCGTTTCTAAATAAATATCTATATTTACGGATGGCCCCTAAAGAAGAGTATGCAACTGTGGTTATGGGTCAGTGCGCGGCGCGCTGCCTTCATTACGTAACTTGGCTTCATCGCGCTCTGAAAGCATGCATTCAAACTCACAATTTCTCATACGAACCCATCCGTTTTGCTCGATTCGTTCCAGTACCCACGCGATCTCTAAATTCTGGCGCGTGAACTCCAGTTCATTTCAAACCAGAGGGAAAGTGCGGGCTGCAGTTGAATGATGTAATGAAGGCAGCGCGCCACGCATCTGGCCCATAGAAAAGAGATCACAGTTGCATACTCTCGTTTATGGACTCTTGATATGATCACTGCTGAGGTTGTTGTTGCAGAAGCTGGCGTCGCCCGTTTTTGATATTATGGGCATGTGTTTCTGTGGAGAAGGCGGAGAGCCGGAACGCAAACAATATAATATTACTTTATCATTTTGGTCCTCTTTTGTATTTTCATGATATGATTGTATCGGTTTATTAATTTTGCCCGTACAAGAGGCATCGTAAAATTGAAAAAAAAATCCAGTGCGGATTGTTTCTACGTTTTGTAAGAACATGATAAGAGCGCAGCCAGATTGCTGAAAAAATAAGAATGTCCCAGGCTCACCCCTTGGAAACAACGTTCTTGGGCGCGCGACTCTGCTGTAGTAAAAAATAAAGAACTTGACGTCGCTTCAAAGAGGTCAGGCTGGGACATTCTGATTTCTGTTGATCTTACAATCCATTTCAAAACTATAGACGCGTACCTAGGCAAAAACCGTTATGCCAGCATCTATACCACATAAAATCTGTGATCACTTTGTGCATATATTTTTCCGGCGTCTGTTATCCAATCGTTTAGAAACTATAATTATGAGAGTGGAGCGGCCCTGAGCAATATTCCGAAAACTATTCTCAAAAAGTTCCAGCCAAATTTGAAATATTTCAAAAACCCTACGCGTATAGTTTTGAAATGGACTGTAGAAACAATTTCAGGGCTCACAGTTGCGTAGAAAAGCGTCGATTAGATGGGGGCGGTGCACGTGCTCCAAAATGCCAGCTTGGCCAATCAGCAGTCAGCATTTCGTCGGATTTTTGCTCGAAGTAGGGGGTGTTTGAAGGAGTTAGCAGCACTTCAGCCAGGTTCTACGAAGCTGGGACTTGGCCCAGGCACAGATGACAGGTGTTCCAAAAGATTTACCGAAACAAATTTTCATTACTCACACGGGTATGCCAGAGCATATGCGTAAACTTCGTGAGATATAGTACAGCATTCGAAAGGAGTATCCAAAAACGTCTCGGTAAATTTCTTTGCCAGGGTCTCCTGAAAATTTTGAGCCATAGATTGTCCAAATCGACCAAGGGGGAGATGCTCTGTACTGATTTTAGTAACCCCGAGTCCCAGCGGCGCGCAACCGCTTGCGCGAAAATGTGTGAAGATCAAACAACAAGAAAAACGCATGCATGCAGCAGAACGGCAACGCGTGCCGTCGAAGAGAAAATCATTGAGCACAGATTGTTCAGTGTTCTCTCCTCAGTTCGCCCGCGGCGTTGGTTGCTGTGCTTTCATTCTCGCTGGAGTTCTTGTGGCAGCGCATTTCGCCATCATGGAGGAACTGGCACCCTGGGAAACCTGGTCTTCAGTGGCCCTCGACATACGCCCGGTGGATTTGCTGGTCCCGTTTACCTCCATTCGATCACCAGCTCCGTGTGGTATCATCATGTTCTCGGCGTTACCTGCCTGGCGAGCTCTGACTCGTTTGTTTGTCTTCTTACCTGTGGAATCATCACGATCGCTCATTGTAGGATCAGCTTTTGGTCGAACATGGCATGTTGTTTTTACTGGGACTAGCACAGGTTGCGTTTCGCCTTCTCCTCCAAAATATCGCGAACATCGGCTCTAAAACTACGAGAACAGGCTACAAGTACAACTCTGGTTCTTTCTCTTTTCTGTTCTGTTTTGGATGCGTGGGATGTACACGATCGGTACTCTCCCGGGGTCACGCGACTCACGTGCACCAAACCCGCCCTCGCACGACGCTTTTGTCGATCCTGCATGCCTACTATACTGTGAGCCCTGAATTTGTATGCATGCATAAATTAATCACATAATATATCGCAAAACTTACTTGCCAGAAAACCAACACCGACGACCTCGACAATCCTCTTTAGATTGTGGTGCATGGTGCACCGGTGTGTTGGCCATTCTTCATGCTTTCGCGCAGAATATTTCTTAGAGATCACGAGTTTTTCCAGGCAGCTCACATACGACAAAATCGTTGGTGGTTAGGATTTTTGAAACACACTGGAAATAACGTGCATTCTCTCGAAAGTATTGCACAAACACCCCAAATTCAAACTGGACAAAGGAAAAACTGTCACAACACCAGCAGTGAGTCAACTCCCTACATGACTAGTGTTCCTGGTAGTGGAACAATCCAACAAGGAGAACTGCAACATCCCGGGCAGTTTCTGAGAATTACCGGATTGCCTACAATCACGATGATTTCTCTCCCGAATGATCAACAGTAATTACATAGTAGCACAATAATACTGCTACAACACGAACACGGCTTCATTGATTGAATGTGGTGGCTTTGAAAAAAGCCGGTTGTTGTGGTTCGAGTTGGAAGAACTCTGGAAATACCAGGAGCCTGGCGCTTAGGCACGCTCTCCACGGATGCGGCGGGCGAGCTGGATGTCCTTGGGCATGATGGTGACACGCTTGGCGTGGATGGCGCACAAGTTGGTGTCCTCGAAGAGACCGACGAGGTAAGCCTCTGAGGCCTCCTGGAGAGCCATCACAGCAGAAGACTGGAAGCGCAGGTCAGTCTTGAAGTCCTGGGCAATCTCACGCACAAGACGCTGGAATGGCAGCTTGCGGATCAAAAGCTCAGTTGACTTTTGGTAACGGCGGATCTCACGAAGAGCAACGGTACCAGGCCTGTAACGATGGGGCTTCTTGACACCACCAGTGGCAGGGGCGCTCTTTCGGGCAGCCTTGGTAGCCAGCTGTTTGCGTGGGGCCTTGCCTCCAGTTGACTTACGGGCAGTCTGCTTGGTACGGGCCATTTTGATGGAAAAGATATGGACAAACCGAGAACTTCCAAACGTGAAAGAACACAAATCCACAATGACTTTGTTCTCCGCACAGCATTGCTTTTTGAAAGCCAACAGCTTTCCCGCGGACGCTGATGATTGGTCAAATCTTTCCCCTTTTCGGCCCGCTGATTGGCTGGTGACCATCTTCGCAACCGTCCATAGCAACAAAATGGCTAGTACGCGCGCTACATGCAGTCTACTACCGTACATGTATGTACGCATACTCGCGGCCGTGCAGTGCGCGTGATGATGTGCCAGAAATCAAAGTGACCAAGTGCGCGTGATCAAACTACACTGTACAGTCATGACGTCAGTCCATTCAGAAAAAGATGATATCCTCCTATTTTTGGCCATAAATGGGTCAAATTTTAGAGTTTTTCACAATTTTTTCTGAAATCCCCATGGAATCCCGGAATGCTGTTCCAATTATGTTTCTGAAGTCCATTTCTCCGAAAAGCAAGCACCTGGCAATGGCACGGGTTTGCACCAGGGAGTCGTCAAATACCGGTACCTGTATTTGACTACTGGTTTGCACACACACACACACACCCGGAGTTCATCCAAGTGAGATGATACAACTTCTCGCGGATGATGACGGCACCCACACATCTAGCAAAGCCAAAGCTGAAATCCTTTGTGAATTCTTCAGGAAGCAATGCACCGCAGATTCCCCAAATCAGCAACCAAGTCGTTGTCCATCATCCAGCACCATTGATGACCAAGAGCCATTTTCGTTCACAAAAATCAAATCCACAGATGTCTATGAAGCTGCAAGAACATTGTCTGTGCACAAATCATCTGCTGACAGTTACCTATCAAATGCCATCCTCAGCCGCTGTGCAGACATCCTGTGTGTACCTCTGCCGCTCTGGCTAAACTATTCAACTACAGTCTTGAGCAAGGCGAGTTCCCTTCCGCTTGGAAGATGGCCACGATTATCCCAGTGTACAAGGAGAAAGGTTGCCCAACTCACCCTACGAACTACCGCCCAATATCCCTCCTCCCCTGTATAGCAAAACTCTTTGAAAAAATAGTAGCGAAACAACTCCAGGCTTACCTAACAATAAAACAGAAGATATGCAGTCAACAATACGCGTACGTGAAGGAGAAGTCTGCGACAGACCAGCTTATTATACTTACCCAGCAAATGGCCGACTACATTGATGAGCGTCTGAACTTCGACCTGGTCTCCCTAGATTTCTGCAAGGCATTTGACAGAGTAAGCCACTCAACTCTCCTCCGTCAAGTCAGCAACTTCTCGGACCATAAAGTCACTGCCTGGACTAAGAGTTATTTGCAGGATCGAAGCATAGCCGTGAAGATTGAGTCATGCATGTCAGTGCCCAAAGTCACCAACTGTGGTGTTCCCCAGGGATCGCATCTGTCTCCTCTACTGTTCGTGATCTACATTAATGACCTACCAGAAGCCATACATCATTCGCACACCTTCTTGTTTGCGGATGATGTCACTCTACTTTTGCCGTACAAAGGCTCTCTGTCAAGTCCTGGTATCCAAGCGGACATTCATGCATGTCAAAACTGGGCCAGGGAAAGAGGCGGAGAGTTTTCGCCCTCAAAAACTTCTGTTTTAAGCTTCCGTTATAAGCCAGTGGCAGCATCATCACCAGCACCAACATCTGCCACCTACACTATGGAGGGTCTACCTCTTCCCAGTATTGACATCCTCAAACATCTGGGAGTTCGCTTCAGTGCAGACCTAAACTTCCGTCAACACTACCTTGACATCAGTCGCAAATTCAAGCAGAGAGTAAGCCTACTTTGTCACATGGCACATCGTCTTACACCGCAGGCCATGATGCTCCTCTACAAGTGCTATGTTAGACCTGTGATTGAGTATAGCGTCGTAGTGTGGTCCTTTCGTCTTCGTTCAAGCGACTTGACTGAGCTGGATAGAGTCCAGGCCAGGTTTGCAAGATCCTACCTTAGGAAACGCAAAATCCAAATCGACTTTAATACACCCAAGCAGGATCTTAATAAAAAAGCTAACATTGAATCCCTTCTTTATCGCAGGCAGTTTTTAAGCTTGGTTACCATGCACAAATTTATTTTCAAGTATCGACGTTGCCTAGCTTCATTCCATTTCAATATCACGCAGAGTGCGAGACGCCCTAACAAAATTATTCTCCCTAAAGCAAAGACCACATCAAAATCGTTGTTTCTCTTCCAAACCTCCCTCTTATGGAACTGCCTCCCACCAAGACTAACTGCAGAACCATCCATTATTGTTTTCAAGAATGAGCTTCGCAAACTCACTTGCAAACATGGTGCTTCGCTCTCCGGTATGCCTACGCCATGTACATAACCCCCCCCCCCCCCCCCCCCCCCCCCGTGTGCTCCCCAACGCATTCACGCTGCACAACTTTTCACTACTTTCACTTTAGCTCATACGTGTACATGTACATCCTTCAAAGCAGTGAACCCCTTGATAGGCGACAAGCCTCTGGGTCATCCTAATAAAGATTATTATTATTATTATTATTTTAACTGGTTTGAGGGAAAGAGACAAACGGGAAAAGTCTGAAGAAAAAATTGACTGTCACCACCAGGACTCGAACCAGGGACCTTCGCTTGTAGCCAGCGATGCTCTAACCACTGAGCTATGGTGTAGTCGTCATCCCAGTATTATTATTATTATTATTATTATACAAGTCCCGGTACATGTACAGTCAACTTCGCTAATAACGACTGCGGATATAACGACAATTCGCGAATAACGACAGAATTTCCATGCCCAGAGCAAAGTCCCATCCAACTGTAATACATAATGAGACTTCGGGTATAACGACACTTTGTGAATAACGACACTTTTCTGATGCCCCGCCGAGTGTCGTTATGTATAGGATAGTGCACGGATCCGAGGAGAATATTTTTCATAATCCCCAAGGCGCGCAGCGCCGCGGGGATTATGAAAAATATTCTTCCGAGGACCAATCCGTGCACTATCTGTATATAGCTCGACTTGTCAGGGGTCTGCGCTAGGCCTAGCCCAAATTTGCCGGCAATTCTTCCAGCAAAATATCGAATTTTCCAACAAAAAGAAATTGCTGGCAAATTCCGAGCAAAACATCGAATTTACAGAGGATCCGGGTGTGTTTTGGTAATTTTATTCAAATTTCGTTGGTTTCATTGGGCCAACGTCGTGCTGAAATACATGTAGCTCGTGCAGGTTGTCAGGGGTACATAAATTTGAAATCATGCTCCAAAATCCGTAATACTGACACCATTATAAGTTTTGCTTTCCTCGTCAGAGTCACCATCCACTTTTACCAAGTAGACGGTTCATTCGAAGCCATTTTTGCCACAAAGCAGGAGCAAAATGGAGCAAAATATCGGAAACGAAAGGCAATGCCAAGCAAAATATGGAAAGTGATCGGGCAAAATTTGCCGGCAAAATATCGAAGCGCCCCGAGCAAATTTGGGCTAGGCCTAGTCTGCGCAGCCATCACGTGCACGGTACACAGTTGTTGGCTTTCACACTTTTTTCAGTTGTAAGCAGGGAGTACAGTACTCAGTAGTACTTTTTCAAGCTCAACAAAAAAAGGAAAGGCAAGCTTGCAAAGCAAGGAAACATGACACAGGAACAAAACACAATTTGACAAATGAAAAATGAAAAAAACAATACCTGATCTTTTTTTCTCTTTACATTGCCTCAGCCTGCTTTTATGGATTTCTTCTTGTTCTGGTGGGAGTTCAGGCCCCACATGTTGTGTACTCTTGTAAGTCCTGATCTGTGTGTTTTTCTCTTTGAATTTTCTCAGCCAATTAATTTTTGAGGGGGAGGGAGGGAGGCCGAGGGTGATGCCTGATGGGCGGTATGACCAGTGTTCAGTTTCCATGGCAACATTGTTGTTGAGATCGAGATGCGTGCGTGTTGGATTTCTTGCGAATTCAAATACAAAGAACAACATTTCTCTTGTTTAGGTTCCATAGTAAACCTATTTACGATACAATACAGTGTAATTGCTTTCATTTGTTGCTCAGTTTCCATGGCAACGTTGTCGTTGACGTTGCAGACATACAGCAGGCGCGTACGCAGGGGGGGTTTCCCGTTGCCCGGAAACCCCCCAAATGTTCCAAACGAGCAACGTTTTGGGGCATTTTTGGTAGGGCCCACGATCGATCTGGCAAGAATGCAAAACTTCAACAGATCGCAACTCAGTCAAATCTCGCTCAAATCCAACGATCCAAATATCCAGGTCGAATAGAAAACTCTCAGCTGTCCGTTGAAACAATTTTCGACGCGCTGCGAGCAATGTCTCTTGAGATAAATCATTCGTAAGTTGAGCCGCGATTTTCCATTTTGAAAAGTGCGCAGTGCGACTGGAGTATCCAGAATTTGGGACTTTTCGTCGCGCTGACTTGCTCAATTTTGCAGGGGCTTCACTTGTGATATTTTCAAGAGAACACAGCCAAAAAAATCGAAACTCTGCGATCAAGAAAAACGAAATCGCTGGAGCAGGACGCGTTGGGGCTTTTGGCCAGGACACAGTACAGTCATGTACATATCCAGCGCTATGGCTATTTATAGCGGTAGAGTGCAGCGACGGTGCGAAAAAATGCCCCAAACTTGAGTCCTGGAGTATCATGGTCGACCTCATTCTCCCCCTGGTACCTTTCCACTTCCAGGAAGCCCAAGATAATGAAGATTGAGTGAGTAGAACTGAAGTTATGATCCAAAGAACACGAAAAAATGCATAATTCTGAAAAATTCGTAGGGCTCTTTAGAAAGGGTAAGAACGAGCAATTGTTTGCGATTCGGTTGGAAACCCCCCTAGAGGTGACCCTGCGTACGCGCCTGTACAGTCATGTACTTTGTTGCCAATTATTCATGAGCAGCTGTAATTGCACGTTCACATGTCACATCCATGTTCATCTAATACAAAAAAACATATTCACGGTGCTCATGTGAGAGTTTTGTAAATATGTCCACTTGTTCAATTACCTTCCTATAATAAAGTCATTTGATTGAGATTTCACACAGCAGCTTCCAGGCTGGCTCTTTGGGGTTTGTTTGGCTAGCTTGCTTTGGCCTACTCTCGCTAGGTATAGTGAGAGCAGTCCAAAGTCTTGGGCTCTTTCCCCTCACCTAGGGGATTATGAAGAATAATCCCCTGGGTCAGGGGATTATCAGCCCTAGAACCCCTGACAAGTCGAGCTATAAGCGAAGTTGACTGTACATGTAGATGCATGTATAGAGTTTGACAGTGAATCTCAGTGACAGTTGCACCTCGTGTTTTCAGTTTTCATCATCTGTGCTTGGGAGAGATGTAGTGTCCAAGTCTACATACTGGTATGCGCTGTGGCATTCCTTGGCCACCCCAAACATTCATGATACATGTAGTAGTACATCGTGTAATGTTATGGATCTCAGTACCATGTACATGTACATGTGTCGTTTCCCGGGTGCGTGAAACGGACTTCGCGGGTTTTAATTGCTGTGCATGACTTGAGTCTTCGCCTCTTGTTGTTTTGGACTGGAGAAATAAAGAACACTACAAATGCCGAAAAACTTGGGGACGCTCCAAGCACTACCGCAGCGTACACGTCTCCAATTGTAGTACACGTTGAGTGTGGATCAAAAATATAGAAGCCGAGTCGACACGTGTCTAATACATGCCGGAATGATGTGATGGGCATTACTGGGGTACAAGTACCAGGGTCCACCTTACTTCGTTTTTCTTACCTGTTCATCATCTTTGTGTCTTTGTAGTACTGATTCTTACCATGGTTGGATGTACTTTAGTGGTGTGCACGGGTAGTCGGGTACCTGTGAGGACCTCCGGTAGACGGGTACCGAATGGTACCCGAAGTCGCAGATGACATCATGTACAGTTCACGCGTACAAATAACTCATGTTATACTCCGCATGTCTACCCAGTGTGTAAGGGAAGGGGCTGGGGTGCATTGCGGTCTTACCATGGAAACATTACCCGATCGGGTACCCGTGGAAAACAACTGGACCTGATACCCGAAGAAAATGCTACCCGACTCAGCCCTAATGTATTTACAGTCTTACAGCATCATTATCACGAGTTGTTTGCCACCCAACTCTGGCAATCAATCTTTTCAGAAACAACAAAAGTACACGTATCCAATACTAGTACAGTCTCCTACATGTATAGTAGTACAGGTCTGAACTTAAATAAAAGTCACTGTACCAGCATTTATTGGGGACTATGCGGTATCTTCGAAGGAAAGAAACGAGTCTCCATGCCTACTGCTGATACATGAGTAACATGACATACACTTCTAGAATTCTTGGCCACTACGGTATAAAACACATACTGGTCTGTACTCACCAACAGTGACTTGGTCGAGTGAGCACATGCAGGTGTACATCGCTGCCTTGCACACTCACACATTTGGTACCATTTACACAAATCGCAAGACGAGCACGCAAATCTGCAAATACATTCACAGGATGTACCGTGACCCACGGTTTATCTCAGCACACACTCAATCCTTCACCATCACAAACTGGCAAGTCTTGGAGAGACCTGAAATCAACTGCTGCAGAATTCAGATAATCCCGCGGAATGTTGCAGAAAAGAGTGACAAACTGCTACTGTAAACCGCCCAATGTTTGCGTCACTATTTTTTGCGATTTCTCAGAACCAGCGAGTTTATGATGGCAAATGTTTGTGGAGCACTGTATACACCCACTGTTGAAGTTTGATTTCACGATGTAATGGTTAATATTTTGCGTTATGCTCTTCTCGCCGCAAAATTAGCAAACATTAATATCAGTACGTCGCAAACATTAGGCTGTTGACAGCATTTCTGGAGATTTGTTCTGTGATTCATAGTCAATAAAAGCATGGCTTTCGAAATCAACTTGCAGTATATTTTGGAGCTTTCAAATATTTTGGGTCAGGATTTCAGATAATTTGGGCTTAGAATTTATCGAGATGACAAACCTCGGTGGGGTTGCACAGATTCGATAAGATTCTGTTTTTACGCTCATTTTCCTTGCAGAATTCTGCAATTTTTTTACAAGAACTCGGTTATATGCGATGCAGAGTCTTTCAATGTGACAGGTTATTCACGTACTAAATTGCGCTCTTGGTCGAGGTCGGTCACCCCGAACGTTCAGAATTTTTTTTAGTTTGGCACAAACTTTAGTTATTTCGTGAAACTTTGTACGTATACAGTACTGCTCAATGAAATCAAGTCGCGGCATGCAGGCACTCAAGTACGCACCCGGCGTTGCGCAGTCGTCACTATGATACTGTAATTTCACACAATTTCGGTGTACTTTTATTTTCGGTGCATCTGTTTCATACTTAAAATTTCAATACACCGAACAACCACTAACACACATAATCAACTGCTTCTCTGTACCGAAACTTTCTGTTCACCCAGCCTAGGCACCGCCGGCAGAAAAATTGGCAGAATTCGGTACTTTTTCTGGTAAGTTTCATGCATGTTTGGTATGTGGATAAAGAAATGGAGCAGAATTCAAGGAATTGACCGCCATAAGGTTTGCATGGTTCTGCCAATTTCACTGCTTTTCGAGCATAATCCGCCGGTCCCTAATCTGTCCCCGGGGAAAATTGCGATTCCGCGGCCGCGTTTTTTGAACTTTTTTGTCGCACTACACGTACCTGTCCCCGGGGAAAATTGCAATTCCGCGGCCACGTTTTTTGCGATTTTTTAAAAGACCGCGTTTTTTGAACTTTTTTGTTGCACTACACGTACACACAGTGCACTGTTCGGTCAGCAACGTCTCATCGTGGCGGCTTTTTACTCAAATATGACGAGTGCTTACACCAGAGACTTGTAACTGATTGATTTCACTACATACTCACTGAAAATTGCCGCTCATCAATATTATTCACCGCAAATTGTGCCATATTATGCCGCGTTTTTTGCGATTTTTTTCCGCAATTTTCCCCGGGGACAGACGTACACACAGTGCACTCATGTTCGGTCAGCAATGTCTCATCTTGGCGGCTTTTTACTCAGATATGACGAGTGCTTACACCAGAGACTTGTAACTGATTGATTTCACTACATACTCACTGAAAATTGCCGCACATCAATATTATTCACCGCATATTTACCACAAATTATGCCATATCATGCCGCGTTTTTTTTCCCCGGGGACAGCCTAATGTACAATCATGCTCATGCACGGTGTGTTCTGTGCGCTTATAGCTACAGTAGATCTACCGGTACCGATTTTTTTTGAAATTGAAATGTCAATGTTGTGGTAGAATGAATTTGAAGACACCACTGCAGCTGTACTTATGGTTGATAAATATGGTGGTAAAGACACACCTGGCAATATGGCGGTAAACACACGCCTGCCCACACACGCTCTCTAGGCTGCAAAGTTCTGGCACAGAGCTCCTTCTCACCACCACCACCATCAGTTCGCGCCTGGTCGATGCATGGTTGGCGGTATCCGGCATAGCAGGCTTCGAGCTATGTCGTTGCTGTGTCATCTGCTATGTGCCATGCACTACTTGATGTACCAGCCTGCTATGCCGGATACCGCCAACCATGCATCGACCAGGCGCCAGGCGCGAACTGATGGTGGTGGTGGTGAGAAGGAGCTCTGTGCCAGAACTTTGCAGCCTAGAGAGCGTGTGTTTACCGCCATATTCTGTCCCCGGGGAAAATTGCGATTCCGCGGCCGCGTTTTTTTCCGCGTTTTTTGCGATTTTTCAAAAGACCGCGTTTTCCGCGATTTTTGAACTTTTTTGTTGCACTACACGTACACATAGTGCACTGTTCGGTCAGCAACGTCTCATCGTGGCGGTTTTTTACTCAAATATGACGAGTGCTTACACCAGAGACTTGTAACTGATTGATTTCACTACATACTCACTGAAAATTGCCGCACATCAATATTATTCACCGCAAATTATGCCATATTATGCCGCGTTTTTTGCGATTTTTTTCCGCAATTTTCCCCGGGGACAGCATATTGCCAGGTGTGTCTATTTATCAACCAATGTTGTGGTAGGTTTTTTTATATTCACTGCAATACAACCGGTTTTGTTGATTATTTGATTCACATACATGTACAGTGGTCCCTCTATAATCCGGCACCATTTGTGCCACGAAAATCTGCTGGATTAACAAATCTAATTTACTGCTGCAATGTACATGAAGAGGACATTTTGGCTACTGAAAATTGTGCTGGTTTATCGAGGGTGCTGGATTAGAGAGGGACGACTGTACTAGTATACTGTAGTATGCAGTTCACAAGAACATACCTTACAACGGAACCAACTAGGCCGACTTCGCCTATCTGCATCACAAGGCAAATACTACGGCGGCAATCATCCTGCAGGACGTCGCTGGACCAGTGAAATAAAACTATTAATCACGAGCAATTCACGTTACTACCAAGACTACGTTATGTATGTCCTACTACCTTTGTCCAGTATACAGTTCCACGGCATGACTGCGAGAACAAGAGATTACGAAACACAATCACACAAAAGATAAGTACGACTTTCATTGACTGAATGTGGTGGCTTTGAAAAAAGCCGGTTGTATTGTGGGTCGAGTTGGAAGAACTCGGAGTGAGCCTGGTGCTTAGGCACGCTCTCCACGGATGCGGCGGGCGAGCTGGATGTCCTTGGGCATGATGGTGACACGCTTGGCGTGGATGGCGCACAAGTTGGTGTCCTCGAAGAGACCGACGAGGTAAGCCTCTGAGGCCTCCTGGAGAGCCATCACAGCAGAAGACTGGAAGCGCAGGTCAGTCTTGAAGTCCTGGGCAATCTCACGCACAAGACGCTGGAATGGCAGCTTGCGGATCAAAAGCTCAGTTGACTTTTGGTAACGGCGGATCTCACGAAGAGCAACGGTACCAGGCCTGTAACGATGGGGCTTCTTGACACCACCAGTGGCAGGGGCGCTCTTTCGGGCAGCCTTGGTAGCCAGCTGTTTGCGTGGGGCCTTGCCTCCAGTTGACTTACGGGCAGTCTGCTTGGTACGAGCCATTTTGACAAGAGATGGATAAACCGAGAACTTCCTATCGTGAAAAATACAAATCCACAATGGTTGGTCTCAGTGCACAACATCGCTTTTTGAAAGCCCACAGCTTTCCCGCGGTCGCCGCTCATTGGTCAAATCTTTCCTCGTGGATGCGCGCTGATTGGTCAAATGTACGGCACATTTCGAACCGCGCGTTGATTGGCTACTGAGAAAGCGCGCGAAAAAATCGAAACAGATTTTCAAACCAAGCTGCAGTTCGTACAAAAACCACGGCGGCGAGGAGTTGGAGCAAGTTCACTGTCATCTCTTAGTTGAGCAAGTGGTTCTTTGAGCACTATCTTCACAGCAATCATGTCTGGACGTGGTAAAGGAGGAAAGGCCAGGAGCAAGAGCAAGAGCCGCTCTTCCCGTGCTGGGCTTCAGTTCCCAGTTGGCCGTGTTCACCGACTTCTCCGCAATGGCAACTACTCCGAGCGTGTAGGTGCTGGTGCCCCAGTCTACCTGGCCGCAGTCATGGAGTACCTGGCTGCTGAGATCCTTGAGCTGGCTGGCAACGCCGCTCGTGACAACAAGAAGACCCGCATCAACCCCCGTCATCTTCAGCTTGCTATCCGCAACGACGAGGAGCTGAACCGTCTTCTGTCTCATGTGACGATCGCACAGGGTGGTGTTCTGCCGAACATCCAGGCCGTTCTTCTGCCCAAGAAGACTGGTCAAGCCAGCAAGAAGGCCTAAGTCTCTACTGCTATGCTGTGCAACTAACCACTGCAACGAACTCAACCGGCTTTTTTCAAAGCCACCACAAACAATCAAAAGAAAGCTAGTTCTGTTATGTAATTTGTATTGTAGTTACAATGTGTCTGTGTTGGTTTGACCAATACCCGACATGAGTTCATGTAGTCCACCAAGGTGAGTCTACTTTTTTTTCTTGGGCTCTGGTTTCTTCGATCACTGTCTCCTGAATGTTCGATGCACAATTTTCAGCACCTAATCGTACCTGACGAAAACCAAAACATTTCTGCGTTATCACAAACAGGCTGCATGTACTCACCCAAAGTACCACACTGTAATTGAGAGGTTGCACCAATAAGTTAGTTGCATAAAGTAAAGGAGCACTTTTCACATCCTTTGCAGTCACAAACTGAAGCCTTGAAGGCCAAAATTAAGGAGTGAAGATTTTTGGTTTTGTCTTTGTTTTTTTTGACTGGGCTAGTCTGGCAAGAGGAATGTGCTCAAACGAATCTCAAAGTAGTTTTTCTGCTACTTTCTGGACAGTACCCTAAAAAATTCAAATTCCACAGGCAAGAGTGATTTCTGCAGATGATTACCATTTCTGAGAAATTTGCTGTGGAATCGCGTTTTTCCAAGGGGGACATGTCGACAGACAGTACCGCCAGAGCGCCCCACCTTGATTTTACAGCCAGAGAAAGGAAAATCGTATGGACAGTGATTTTACTATCTTGCCCTAAAAAATTCCACAGGCAAAAGAGTGATTTCTGCAGATGATCGCCATTTCTGAGAAATTTGCTGTGGAATCGCGTTTTTCCAAGGGGGACATGTCGACAGACAGCACCGCCAGAGCGCCCCACCTTGATTTTACAGCCAGAGAAAGGAAAATCGAAGTGTGTACGATGTGAGAATCTTAGTGGTCACACTTGGCAGGTTTTTGTGTGGAGCTTGAAGGTGCGGATTGACTGCAAAACGTGCAATATGCGTACAAGGTTCATGTCGTATGACCTACAGACAGCAGACCACCTCCACAATACGACCACGAAAGGATGAGATGGTGGGGCGCTCTGGCGGTACTTTACGGTACAATCATGAAGATCTACAGTGCTGCTCCATGAAATCCTGTCGAGCCACTCCAGTGTGCGCGAGCGTTCCTATGTCTGCGAAATGGTGCAAGCCAAGGACGACGCGGTGCAAACACAGCACTGTACAGCCAGAAACAGATCTCATGACGCCACCAGCCACACCAGTGTCATGTACCCGAGTCGACTATGGCCATGGATGGAGGAGGGCAGCTAATAATTTCTTACATGAACTATAAACAGTTACATGTGAAATTGTATTATTTGTACTAGAATGGCGTTGCGCGCGCAGCCTTCGCTCCTAGAGAAGTAGCAGAGCAAATAAGATAGTAGTGCATCTCTAACATGTAAGTCGAGAAGGAAATGGAAATGTGTTTCATATCAGGGTTTGATGTTTTCGTTATTTGCTTCAAATATTTTTCGTGCGTTAGAGGTGATGTTTTATAAATCAAGGATTGGATTCTACTGCATCTCATGATGAACGAAAGAAAGGTCAAACGCTTCAAGATTTAGGTTGGCGATGGCATGCACACATGTTTTCAAACCAGCAATAACAAAATTAATGTTCTTCAAACTCATCCGCATACAGTTGATCGCTTCCGGCGAAATCGGGGTCATCCTTGGCACGGCGCCGTGCCTTTGGTTGGCCGGATCCCTCGACTGCGTCGTCTTTACCAGCGTCAAATGTCCGCTCGTCGAAGTCTTCCAGCATTGCATCTTCCGGATTGTACGGCTTTAACGCTTGCTCTTCACTCGAGTCACCATCGGCGCAGTCCTGCTCGCTGGCCCCAGCACCTCGCTTGTGCTTACGCGGTGCTTGCGAGAGGATGCGGCGCCCGGTGGCCACGTCGATGTGCGGCAGCATGTCCCCCCATCGGGCTCGGCGCACCGACCGGTAAATGACACTACATGTGCAGGGCAAAGTTACAACACAGCATTGACAATTTTACAGCGGCAAGGTTTTGTTTGCATGATACAGGAGCTTCTGTTCCAAGGATTTTTACTGGATGAGCACAATCACGTATCACTGCGTACATACAAGTACAGTTGTCGGCAAAAAATCCGGCCAATACAATGCTAAGCTACCGGTAGCTGTATGGTGCTGGGGCCGCATCATGCAGTGCTCCACTGCTCGACTCGACTGCAGTGCAGCAGGCTACAGGCAGAGTGCAGCGCAGACTGCTTAGTGCAGTGCCGTGCTGTGCTGGTACCGTAAATGCATGCATGCCACCATGAAGAACCGCCGGTGAACGTGCACCCTACCAGTACAGTGGTCCCTTTATAATCCGGCACCATTTGTGCTACAGAAATTGTGCTGGATTAACAAATCTGATCTACTATTGTAATGTGCATGAAGAGGACAGTTTGGCTAATGAAAATTGTGCTGGTTTATAGAGGGTGCTGGTTTATAAAGTGCCGGATTAAAGAGGGACGGCTGTACATGTACCACTGTATTCATGGCATTGGCCGGATTTTGTTGGCGACGACTGTAGTCGTGCATGAAGTTTTCATTCCAGGTGTGATCAACTTGGGGTAGGTACATGAGCACCGCTCCAGATGAGCACGTACGAGCCTAGCACAAGTTGAATGCTCCTCGCTATCCGGGTTTGAGGGCTTGTCAGAACTCCGGACTCGTTTGTAATAATACACGTGTACAAGTGCACGTCTCTTTATTTGTCGCCTGTTCCGAGTGGAGTTAGGTCTCAGACTCTCGTCTCATTGCACAGTCCGAGGAGTCTCTCTGCTAAGATTTAAAAATCAGTTTGCTCAGTGAGGTGTTAGTCCAGTCTGCTTTTATTCTCTATTTCCCTTCTTCTTAGGGGAGAGAGGGAGGGAGAGATAGAGATACTGAATAGATAGACAGAGAGAGAAACAGAGATAGAAAGATAGATGAGCACTCTCGTGTGGGGTAGTGCCTTTGCTGTTTGCATTATGCAGAGCTCACCCACCGACTTGTCAGTTTGAGCACTCTGGCAAGGTACTTTCGGGCCTGGTTTATATCTGGCTTTGGAAAATTTATTTTTCATTGCTATCAGGTTCGGCCTCATTTTCTCTGTGCTGCGCAGTCCACAAAGGACGAAACAGTTCTGTCCGCAGATTGAGTATTTCGCTCCTGCTCTTGTAGTAGTTCAGCACTCTCGTGTGGGGTAGTGCCTTTGCTGTTTGCGTTATGCAGAGCTCACTGCCTTGTCAGTTTGAGCACTCGGACGTTCGGGCCTGGTTTAAATGTGGCTTTGGAAATTTTATTTTTCATTGCCATTAGGTTCGGCCTCATTTTCTCTGTTCTGCGCTCATGAGTCCACAAAGGATGAAACAGCTCTGTCCGCAGATTGAGTAGATAGATAGATAGATAGATGCACACGGAAAAGAGAAATAGGTCCAGTTTGGATTTGTCGCGACTCAAAGTTTCATGCCACTGCAATCATCAGACGACTGAAAATAAAAACCTAAGACTAATCATAAAAAATCAGATCATGCGTGATACTTGGCGCTTTTGTCATTACTCTACGCGATACACGAATGAAGGCCAATATCACACAGGTGTTATGGATGATGGAAGGGATAAGTAGTGGCATAATGTTGGCACTGACATATGCTAAACCAGGCATGGTTGTGATGGTTAAGTATAATATTGGCACTGATTGCCAAAACCAGTCATTACGGTGCCGGGTACTGTCCTTGCGCGGCAATTGCGACTGGCTGCTGCTTGTTCTACTATGTCACGCTAGATGTGAAGTTTTGTATGTAATATTTGTTTTCATGGCGGCATTTTGACACTAGTTCGTTTCTTCTGTTCAGGCTCTTTGGGTTGTTGGCATTGTTCAATATTGTAAGCTTCTCGATTCTGCATAGGTTGCACCTTTTTGACTTGTTGGAGTACGCCTGTGTCCTTGTGTTAATATGCCACCGAACAGAGAATGGTGTCCCCGCACGCTTCAGGTTCATCCGTGTATCGCGTAGAGTAATGACAATCTAAGTGCCAAGTATCACGCATGATCTGATTCATAATGATTAGTCTTAGGTTTTTTTATTATCAGTCCTCTGATGATTGCAGTTGCATGGAACTTTGAGTCACAACAAATCCAAACTGGACCTATTTCTCTTTTCCGTGTGAAACACTCGGCACTTTGCCGGCAATTGCCAAAATTACTCCTTTGTAGATAGATAGATAGATAGATAGATAGATAGATGGATAGATAGATGGATAGATTGATAGATAGATAAGCATAGAGAGAGAGAGAGAGAGAGAGAGAGAGAGAGAGAGAGAGAGAGAGAGAGAGGCTGGGTGTGAGAGCAAAGGATACACAGTTGATCTTACGGGTTCTTTGCCTTTGTATAGGTGTTGATTTCAAGCTCCCCTGGAGAAAAACAGAACACACACACACACACACACACACACACACACACACACACACACACACACACACACACACACACACACAATGCGGATCAAGCGGTGAAGGACATAGATCACCAACCCCACACATCATAGAACAGAAAACTGCAACAAACTTCTTTTTAAAGTTGACACTTTTACAGAGCGTTGACAGCATCTGGCCTTGGTAGTCAGGGGGGGGGGGGGGGGGGGGGGGGGGGAGCAGCAGCTTCCAGCGTGTTCATCATACAGTTTGTTTCAACATTCCAGTGCACCCCGGCCAGTGTTTAGTGTTGATGATGAGTAAGCTAGCATCAGCACAGAACAGAGAGAACAGAGAGAACATAGAGAAGGCCTTACCTGATGCTCTGCATACCAGTGCCAGCGCATGGCCACCGCGACGCTGTAACGGTCGAAGCAAGCGGTCATATTCACCAAACTTTGTCTCTGCACAGAAAGAATAAAAAAGGAGGAACATTTTGGAAGGTCAATAAGAGAGAGATAGAGAGAGATTGAGATAATAACACTTAGATAGATAGATAGATAGATAGATAGATGTGAATGCATGTACACACACGCATTCACACAAACACACACACACACAAACACACACACACACACACACACACACACACACACACACACACACACACACACACACACACACACCACCATCACCGACACCACCTGCATGCATGCGCACACAAGTTCAAGTACTTAGGCTGTGTTTACATGAAGCGTTTCAATCCGCCATGTACACAAAATGAATGGCGCTTTTACATGACGCATTGCGCTTGACCCGGGTTGAAATCAACCCGGGTCAAGAAAATCGTACAAACGTACTTCTGTGCGTATCTCGCGCCAGGTTTGAACGGCACTGCAGATGCAAATTTCGCGCGAACGGATTCACGTGACCATACAGGACTGTAGAAGTGGACTTTTGGCGGCATATCAGTATTTGACCCGGGTCAACTGTCTTCATGTAAACGCTGACCTATTTTGTCTATCGTACAGACTTTCAACCCGGGCTGAACTCGACCCGGGCTGAAATTTCTTATGTAAACACAGCCTAAGATATGAACTATCATTCCAGTCGAGTCCAATCCACAATGGCTGAATTCATGGAACAGTTTATCTTCTTGCACGCTTGGCTCTCTGCAGAGGGCACCCGTCTGCTCTGTTTGATTCATAATTTTTCGAGCCGTGTTCCTGTGCCCACACCGCCAAATGGGAAGTGAATTTATCTCATAGGTCCACCACGGATTGCTCTACCTACTAGTTAATCTGGATGGTCTCAATATCTAGGTCATGCGAAATGCTGTACTCGGCTGCATTGTGCGTCGTTCCAGAGTTGAAACTCTCTGACCAAGCGAATGTGCACACAGCCGGAATGTGATTTTCAAGTCGCAAACAGTTCTCGTTTACAGATAGAGTTTGGTCCCATGCAAGGGTGCTTGGGTGTAAGGTTCTATGTCCCCTCCTCAAGCACATGACTAAATGCTTGGAGAAGTGATATCACCACTTCAGCATAAAGAACAGGCACACAGGCACACTAAAGTACATGTAACTACAAGTTGTTGGTGTGCGCTTTGTCGATGTGTTGGAGCTAGGTGTCGGATCGTTGAATGTCTCAGTACCCCTATCAGTCTCGTGCCTTGTTGTCGCACTAAACGACTATAATTTTAGAATGAATTATTAGCCGGTTACAGTGGTGGACTGTTGTTCATAACTACTCGTAACACAACACACCACTTTGGCGGACAGGAAGCTGTACCCAATCCCACGGTTTCCTTAGAAAGCTGGACAGCTCACTCACCTTCACGCTTTCCCTTCTTGAACACAACATAAGAGAGCCTCTCCTTGTGATGAACGGCCATGAACATGTTGAGATTTTTCTGAAGGTAAGACAGGTTTGCAACATTTCATACCAA